TGGATTGGAAAAACGGAGATGTGGTTAGTTAATATCTCAGCTCTGTGGAGTGACAGATATCTTTGTTAAGTTGGCGCGTATCGGCCCAACAAATATCCCTGAGTCGAATTCTAGGGATTACCCTTTTCATTTACTTGAGGCATATTTGAATTATTGAGGCAGTTTACATTATTAGATCTGGATTAGAAAATGGAGCAGTGACTATTTTACTGTCATTTTAAAACATTAATAACCAAAATAAATGTTTCTTAATTTCATCCTTAATCAGACTGTACCTTCCGACTAGTAAACCTCTCGACGAATCTCTAATTTGTTTTTTTGTTTTGTAAATAGTGTTTTTCAACCGTGTTTGGCAAATATTTTTGGTTCTCAGCTATCTCAAAGTCTTTTATCATGCTTTACCGGCTTGTTCCTCTGCTGTCGATCGTTAGTGAGTATATTCCTTTTCTTCCGACTGATTGCTCCGGTCTACTAAATTTCTCGTCAGGTGTTTTGGTTCTACCACAAAGTTTTTTTCATATATCCACTGGCAGTTTGTTCTGATATAGTTTCCAGGTCTTTAATATATGAATGTTTAAAATGTGGGTTAAAAGTACAATACATGAACCTCCAATTGATTACTTGATTCCATTATCTTTTTTATCAGTAAAGGGTTGTGGAGATTGGTGTATTTATCAAAATCATGAACCGATTCGAGTTAGATCTCATTTGAAAGCCTGAAACGATTGGCTGGAAGTTTCATCCTAGTAATGAACTCCTTAGCAGAGCTCATCCAAGACCTTGCGCGCGGGAATTTACCCCTTTGAAACTAAACTGTGTCGAGTCTGAGGCAGTAACCCATCGAAGACAGTGGAGAATGGTCGCGCAATGTCATTTGTGGATTGAAGTTAGCTATTAACAACATTACATGCCAAATTAATGGTCTAGAGTCTGAGTGTTCATGCGCAAGGCCGTGTGCGAGTTTGTGGATGCTCAATGTTGAATAATCTACTTTTTTTGTTCATTTGGATCATACAAAAGCTGAATTATTTAAATTACAGTCTATTGATTTCCTATTTTCTGATAATTTCATAACATAGCAAAGTCAGATCAATAAAATACTACATTGATTTTCATTGTAATTGTAATTCTTATCCTTCATGTAGAGATCTAGACTAATATCAGTGGTTTTCTGACAATTGCGCTCTAATTATAAACAGGTCAAAGGTCATTTGCATAAGTAAAATAGATTTTTCTGTATTTATATTTTTTGTCTTTTGTTAAAGCTGACTCATATAAACCGTCATTATTCAGGTCAATACATATAGACCAATTTAATTTGTGTGGAAGTATGATATCAATAATAATAAGCTAAACATGGTTCAACTTTTTAGGTTTTGTATACCTTAGCTACATTTACAAATGTAAGTGAATGGAGTTCTTCTTTGTGAAATTTTCTGATCAATACATTTTCGGCTTTAATAACGAATACATAGATAACTAATGGTATTTCTGACCATTTTACTATTTCAGTTATTTGGTAAATTTCACAAAATCACTCAGACTATAAAAAAATGAGCTAAGTCGTAGAAAGTCATACCAGTTTACTTTTACCCATAGTAAGTAACAGTGATACGCATATAAGGTCAGATAATGGAAGATATATATTATTCAGACAATGCCAGAACTTGGATTATGAATCGTCATTTTATATAACTGCTGATTTTGTCATTCATTTCTTTGCATACGGATATAAATAAATTGTGCAAACTAAATTTCTATTAGACATTGAGTCCCTAAATTTCTTATCTTATGGGGATCTAGCTAAGTTACTAGATTTTTCACACTCCCGTTATACTGTGGGTCGTAATGTGGTCACCACTATAAAAATTTAGACTATTATCTCACATAAGGGTAGAGCTTGTTGTCACTAAAGGTTTACAAAAGTTAGACTTAGGACAGCGTTAATAAACACTGGGTATGTTACAGTGAAGACTGAGGCTTTCGTACAGATTACAATCTCGGAGATACGAAAAGGCTATAAATGTCTGATGATCTACTTAGTGGAGTTAGACAGTCTTCAATACAATCCCGGTGGTAGTATTCATGATAATCACGTGTTTTATTTTATGCACCAAAATAATATCACAAGTATATTTTGTGGTAAGAGACAAAGATTTAATATAATTAAGATTCCTGCTTAAATGTTTTCAACATTAATAGTTTGTACTCCTCAGCTGTTCAAAGATCATTCAGTGAAAAGAATTCCTCAAATCAATTACCAATACATCATTTGCAATTAGCAAAACGACCTGTAGTCATTGTGTTACTATGTGCAAAAACTTCCTGATTCAAATCTTTACTTCGTTATTATGCAAAAACATTCATGTGTGGGCGAAGCTTTAAAACATAAGCCGTGCATTTGGAGCTTCGAAGGATATTACGTTTGTAATATATTTTGAACTACTCACTAGTAGTATAAAACAAAACAATCTAAACTACAGTTACTAACACATGAGTAAGAAATTTGAGGCTCAGCGATATGGGTAATTATTACATATAGCTTGATTATTTAATGTAATTGACCTCCTCCAGTACAATCGAATAGAATCTAAACACCGCACATTCTTTTCCGCAAGTTGTCTTCATTATGGTTTATTTTATATTGTTACCAACAACTCAGTGGTTAATATTTCTAATGCATAAAATATTTTTTACTCCTACTACATTTAAAATGCAATGAATTTAACATAAGCTTTAAATGCGCTTTACATCCCTCACCGTTATTTAAGTACTACAGCTAGATGTGATTACTGGAAGTAATATTTTTTTCAACTTTGAGGCACATAGAGTATTACTAGCTTTCCCTTACAAAATAAATTTATGATCTTCTATACAATTAACGAAAATGCGGCCAGATACAAATTTGTGTCGGAAGATGCATATCATTCACGCTCTTATTTATCGTCGTTTATGAATTTATTAAACCTAGTTGAGAAGTTAATACATTTATGGCGTAGGCGAGATATCTGTCTACCAATCGAAGGACAGGTTTACTGAGCAGCAGTTCGTTCCATCCTACTTTATGGCAGTGAAACATGGCTGCTGAGAGTAGAGGATATTCGTAGGTTACTAGTATTTGATCATAGGTGTCTTCGAAATATTGCTCGTGTATCCTGGCACCACCGAGTAAGTAATACAGTTGTTAGGAAACGGGTACTATGTAAGGATGGCAAATCAATTGATGAAGTAGTGAAACTTCATCGGTTGAGATGGCTGAGACACGTGTTACGTATGCCCAACCACCGACTGTCCCGACGTGCGATGTTTTATGGTGTAGGCGTAGGTTGGAAGAAAGCTAAGGGCGTCCAGACCAGAATGTGGTACAAATCCATAAAGTCACTGACAAGTGGACTGAGCCGTGTAGGTAGGTGTAGACTACGTGGTTGGGATCCGCCAGACGATGGCAACTGATGGTTAGAGACCTTGAATGGCATGGCTTAAAATCGTTTGCGATGGCGCAGGTGCATCTAATCTTTGTGTTCTCCCAAATTCTAATCTTCTGAATTGTCCTTGTCTCTTTTTTTCCCTTTCCAAATTTATTTCACTGTATTATACTCCATGAATAACATCTTCAAAGCCAAATGCTTTCGATTACTGCTTATACTCTTACTAGGTTTGCCACTACAGGATTTGAATCTATAACTGCATCTCTGTGCTAATGTGGTATGGCAACTCGAACTGATGTACGTAAGTGAGAAGTTCTACCTTGTTACTGACTGACTGAATACATAATCCTGTTTTAAGTGTCTATTCGTAAAATCCTTCCCATTATCAACAGAAACTGGCACTTTATCCAGTACATTAATACCAGACGAATCGATTACATTTACGTAACTCTCTTGGTCTACTTTGAGAGTGAGATATGCGTAAACAGTTACTGTAATAATATTTTGAAAATTGATATTACTATCATTTACACGGAAACATAAGATTAGGTGAAAAACAGACTCATAAGTGTCACATCATCGGCTTGAAACATGTTAAAATATTACTCATCCTAGAACAAGTAGGAAGGTATGATTTATTCGCCCGTAAAAAACTACTCTCCCACAATATGAAACGTTAATTGCCTACAATTAACATGATATTTTACCATGCCATGGTCACTACCTATTAAGCCTTAAGTGAGAAGAGACTGAGTAACGAATCTAAATTCTTGATTGCTTAAACTGAGTTATAGCACGTGAATGATTGAAGTGTAAACATAACTCCAGGACGTATAACTAATTTTTTTCGACTGTCGAAAACTAAAGGGAAACGATGCATTTGCTGTGGTGCAGGTAATGACTTAGAATTATTAAAACCACACAACCGAGTTTTATCATAAACAGAACTCTCTGGTCATCTATATTCTTGTACTAGATAGAAAAACATACTTTTTCGCATGTATTGTTTGACAGTACGAAAATCAAAAACAATTTAAACGATGTTCGAACCTAAGATTTATTTTATGAAAGTCGATTGTTGATAAGATTTTTAAAAACTAGGCCTAACAGTCAAGTGTTAGTTGAACGATCAATCATCAACAAGCCTGTGACACCTGATTATGTTTATTGTGTTTCCATTCCGTTTATGAGCATGCTATTTTATTACATAAAAATTATTCTGCTGACTTTCATCAATGAAACTTCTATACAACTACTAGACCTCTTACTCTAGTTTGAGGGATAAGGAAGAAGGGGATACAAGTAGTCTCGCTTACGGTATTGAAGTTGAAGTTGCAAAGAGTAGCTTGGCATGCGAGAATATCGAATTTTTAGTTAGCCAGCTACTCAAATGCTTCCAAAATTAAACTAATTATTAAATACCTTAGATTTATTCCCTCTAAAGTGGATTAAACGTATTTAAAGATAAACATTAGTAACTTCAGTTTATTGAGAAATTTCATTTTAAATAAAATCAAAATATAAGGATCACAAAACTATTCAACAGATAAGAAAAGAATCTGAAACAATTCGGAAAGACTTGTTACTTATAATTATTAAAAATATTTTCAAGACATAATGTTTGACGGAATAGGGGAATTATCGAAAAAGAAGCTAGCTGATACAATTTGTTCATCAGGATTATTAGAAATGTGAGGTTTTGGATTTCTTATTGTTCCCCATACCCAAATCCAATATAACGCTCCGATAATAAAAAATACAGCACCAAATTCAATTTTTATGGCTATTAACCATAATAACAGAGTAATAATGAATTGTACATACCATAAATTCCAGATGGCAGTAATTCTAGCTAATTTCTACACAAAAATACGTATAATCAAGAAAATTATTAAATTTAAGTAGTTGAATGTAATATGGATTCTATTAAAATATATTAAATATATAAAAGTAAGTAGTCAAAATTTGTGAGGGGAAAAATGAGTTTACCAATCTGTTGTTAAATTTTTCGAAAATAGAAATGTACGGATGAATAATTTATTTGATCTTTATTTTGATAGAGGTGACTAATTGTAACTGGGAAATAAAACCTAGCATAATACACTGTGGCAGAATGAGTGAATGGTGATGGTAAAAGTTTATAGTAATCTATTACGTCAATATTTCATCAGCAACACACACTTGTCAGAAGTTTTAAATTTTCTATGGATTCTATCACTAACCACCAACTAGATATCTAGTATTACAGTTGCTTATAATCCGTTCATTCAACAGAAAAGTAAGCACGCCTTGTTAGTTATAAATTAAATATTTAAACGGTGATATTAATTCGTAATAACGCTTCACTGAGTCATATAAATATGTAAATAGGATTAATATACATAGACCACTAAAAGTGGTGTTCTAGTACAATATAATTAGAATGTAAGTGAATCAGTCATTTTTTGCCTCAAAGATTAATTGGATACATCTTTTTTATACCATTATGATTCAAAACATAAATTAAAAATAAATATATTACTGTAGATGATTCTTTTACCACAGAACTGTTGGCAGGTTCCTGAAGTACATTTATGGTTGGAGGTTTTAACTCTGGAGTTACTGGATTTGCTAGACGATAAGCATCCAATTGAGCTTTAATTTCGAAGTAAGAACGTTGTTTAAACTCGGGTACCATGTAATTAGTCTGAAAACATTTTATTAACAGATGCACGTTACTAGGTGGGCTAGGATATATATATATATATATATATATATATATGCCATGGCAGAATACAGTACATTAGTCACTGTGACGAAACAAGCTTGAAACCAGTGATGATTTACATGTGATCATAAATGAAGTTTAGAATCCCAGAAAACGCTTGTACGAACACTATTAAACCGAAAACGCCTTGAAAAGTGTTGTTTTAAGGATCGTAAGAACCATATAGAATCAAAGTACCCGTCATTGATTTCCATTTACAGACCTTCAAACCACCTCACTAACCGACTATCAAACGTAGCATACATTCTTTTTAGCGCTAAAAGTGAGTCTTTAAAATCGTACGTATGCAAATGAGACAATTGATCCTCGAAATTTTCTAGTTAATTACAGACAGCAAAGACGAACTTAGGCTATAATTATGAAAGCTTTACCATGGAAGATTTAACCATATATACGGATTTCGTCAAGATTAAAAAAGAACGTGAAGACGACAAATCCATTTTTCTATATTTCAGGATGAACGGCTAGTTTTTAAACACTAACCAAATTTAAACCATCTCAGTTTGGGGATAGTCCAGGGCTTCGGCGTAGCTCATCAACAAAACATTCAACATTCCTTTCATTGGGAAATATGGGAGAAAGCTAACTAGTAAATTTAGTTGTAACCATATCCAACTTATCCATGAGAACAAAGTTAATATATATCATGTTTAGCTCTTTGTAACTTCATTATTACAACCGAAATAGACTATAGGTCACCAGAAAATAATGTAATCAGCATCTAGTAGGAAACTCCTGTATAATTACTGACCAGGTTGCTGTGGTAATTTTCACTCAATGTGATTCTCCCTAAATTCAGATAAAATATACTACGCAATCGTTTTCCAATTTAATCTAGCTGATTGTAAAGATCAGTAGGTTTTCTTAAACCTTGAGTCGTAAGAAAGTAAACCCTGATATTACTAGGCTTCAATTAAGCGGTTAAAGGGACTGTCCGCACATAACAACTACACAACAAGAGTACAGCCATGGATCTCCAATTTGATTATGAGTGTCTAAAATGATAGAGGAAGACTAAGCGAAAGCCATGCGCGATTACTTTGGGAGGTCTTTATTTATGAGCCTGAACTTGACGAAAGACTAGGGCCGGAATCAATATTACTAAGTCGATTACTCGCTGTAGACTTTAATCAGTAAGATGTCTCAAGGATACTAGACTCTCTAAGTACGGAGAAATTAACAGGAGTGAATGAGATACGCCCTAAAATTATGAGATTCATTGCGACATATATTGCTACACTGTTCACTACTATATTTAGTGTCATTCATCCAGAGTTACATGTGGAATGGAAGGGTCCAACTAATACTCCATTTCACAAGGCATAATAAAGACAATTTCTCTTGAAGTGCAGACTCATCAGCCTCACCAGTGTCGTGGTTAAAATATCATAAGGAATGAACGAAAAGATAATTACTTAGGTGAAAACCAACACACTTGTTACACAATGAATGAAATGGTCTCAACAAAGGAACACCACATACGACTAAACTAATAATAAGACAGAGATGGACGGAGTTATCGGATGATAGAAAATAAATAAGTCATGTTTACGTTAACTTCAGTACATCATTTAATAAGGCACCACATAATAGACTTCTAATAAAACTTGGGAAACTCAAGAATTAGTGCAGCTCTGATAAATCGGATTAAGGTCTTCCTAGTGGTTCGTCGACTACAAGAATAAGACGCAAATGTTCTTCATAGAAACCAATACTTAGTGGAGTGGCTCAAGGCTTCCTACTAGGTATTTAACTTTTTATACTCCATGCGAATGAACTCCCAAGTATAATTAAGTTTCTAAAGCTACTTTGAGCTGATGGCATCGAAATCTGGAAAGAATTAAGGAAGGGTGGAAGTGCATGTGGACTCCAGGCCGAACGAAATGCTCTAGTTAGCTGATCAAAATTATGGTCAGTGCGTACCAATACGACTAAGTGTTACCATATATATTAGACATATACAGACAAATAACGACAGAATCGAATACGTCTGTACTATAAGTCTAGTTTCGCAATGGTCTAGGGATAATAGTGGGCCACGACCTAAAGTCACGGCTCGCTGCCGAGGTTACAGTCAAACAGTTAAGAACCTATGGGCGTCAATATGGATATTTACTGAGCTGGACACAAAGGGGTTCATCACGATATACACAACTTTACTGAACTCCGAACCTGAGGACCGGGTTTAGGCTGCGAGCTTACTTAAAAGATGATTCGGGTATCTTAGAAACAGGGCAAAGGAGTCATAAATCTAAAAACATTCGACTTTCCATGCACAATTAAGCCAGATTGATTGGACATCATTACTCCGTCTTATCGCAGTTTAAGTGGTGGTCCGAATTTGACGTATAGAAAACAAATAAATGATTTTGGATGTGATGATTCCCCTATTTCAGTTTCTACTAGATAAGGACAGCTCAACTGTGGTTGTGGACGGAATAGATACTTTCGCCTAACGGACTTCCGTACCTAGTAGCAGTGGATCACTAATGCCACTAAGTAAGAACCTAGGTTTATTGACGACAAAAGAGGGAACAGAGAAAAAGAAAATCATAACGATACAGTCCTTAATCTTTAAGTATACATCGTTTCCTCTTAAAGGACTCCTGGGAAGTCACTTGGATTATCACAGCTGGCAATGAATTCCAGTATTTGATTACTCTTAAGGAGTAGGTGTTTCTACAGTCCGTTCTGCTGTGTTGAGTCTCCAGTTTTTGGGTGTTACCCCTACAGTTTGCGTTGGGACGAAGTTTAAGTGGATGTCCAGAAATGTTTAGTATACTATCAATCATAAGGTCACATCTAAGACGCCTGTACTCTAATGGGTAACGGTTCAGTGATTGATGGCGCTCTTCATAAGACTTATGAAGTCTTAAACTTCAGTCCCCGAACTTATTTCGTGGCTTGCAGCTGAATACGCTCCAGAGTGTCCTCATTCTTTTGGAGTGAGGGAGGAAATGCTATATTTCTGTACTCGATGAAGCTATAATTTATGGACGAACCAATCAGATATAAGATAACAGGTGTTGGATTTCAGTGATAAATTAATTCATTCATCTCACTAAACAGCGCCTTGGCGTTATAACTGTCAGTTCATGATGAAAGCTAAATCTAGATCTTAACCCAAGCAACCAGTAAAGGGGAAATAAAGACGAAAAAAGGGAAAATAAAGAGGACGAAAGCTTAAATAAAGGGGAAATGTCGCTTTATCGCCTTCACATCGGTTATTTAAGGTAAATGTCGACTTTTCTTCCTTACGTCGTGTATTTGGGGGATATTTGTCAACAACTATACGTAACGTACCGTCTTTGAATATGCCGCATCCGCTACTTATGTTTTCATAAACGTCAAATGGTTGTGGACGGAATAGAAGAAGCTTTCGCTTAACAGGCTTCCGTTTCTAGTAGCAGGGGACCACCAAATCCCCCAGGCAGGAGCCTAGGTGTGTTGGGGCGAGGGGGGAAGTACTATGTCTCCGTACTCTAAGTGGGGACGGATGAAACTATTAAAGATTATATGGAAAGTTCTTCCGTCGAATTGTCCAAAAATGCGCTTCAATGTTACCAGCGCAAGGTTTGCTCGGAAGGCATTTTCGTCACAGGTAGCGTAAGACTTTAAATCATGGGGCACCAGGACTCCTAAATCTTTTTCTACTTGAGATACTACCAGGGAGGAGTTTCCCAAGTTATAACTGTGGTCTGCGACATCTCGCACTTTGAAGTGTTAAAAGCAAGTCCATTATTATCTGCTTGACTTTGGAGTCGAGTGGGATCCTCCTGAAGTGCCTGTATATCGTCTTGGTTGCGTATCTCTCTCCAAAGTTTCACGTCGTCGGCAAAAAGTAGTAAGTCTGACGTTACCTGTTGAGTAAGATCATTTATGTAGATCAAGGGGAGAAGAGGTCCTAGTACTGAGCACTGGGGAACCCCACTAGGACATTCCATAGTCTGAGATAAAGTGAAATTAACCCTAACCTTAAAGTGTCGATTTTTCAGGTATGAAGTAAGCCAATCGATTAGAGGTGGTCTGATACCTAGTCGTTTGAGCATATGTTCCCTATATGTTTATATTGCCTGTACGCTCCGTCGTTGTCAGTTCGTTTGTATTCCGCCCAACAGTGCCTTTTGCGGCTTAGCAGGCGAAGGGTACGGTTCTTGATTATTGTAGGTGGCTTGCAGCTTTTGGGAACCGTTTGAGGAACTGAATGGTTCGTAGAACATAAGAGCGTGTGCAATAAGAAGTCCCAATGACCGTCCACATCGAGTTGAGGGTGAACATCCTAATCCACCTGTTGTAGATAGTCGTGTAGAGCTGGCACATTCAACCGTTTAAAATTCCAACGCAAATTATTGTTGGGATACCTTAGCTTAGTTTTGATGACAAAACTGAAGGCTATGACGCCAGGATTGAGAAGTTATCAACTGGGAATTCTTCGTTTGTGAATATACAGTCTAAGCGCGATGGTGTCTGACTGTTTCTGCAACGAGTTGCCGACCTCACAATTTCGTATAATCCCAAGTCATCGATGAGGTTGAAGAACCGAGCTTCAATTGAGTTATCACCTCCAGTATACGTGTGATCCGCGAAGTTGACTCTAGGGAGATTAAAGTCCCCTAGAATCAGGATGTGTGTGAAACCGAGATGAGTAGAGCGGTATAGCCCTTCCAGCATATGACTATCGTACTCAATGTCGGCAGTTGGCTTCCTGTAAATGACTCCGACTAGACACCACGAAGTACTAGACAATCTTACAAAGCACCATATGGATCCCTCAAGATTGCTAAACTCGAGGTTATGAACTTGATGCACCTCCAGGCAAGAACGTATGTATAGGGCTACTCCGCCCCTGATTCCTGATTTTCTGTCATTGAGGAACAACGACATCCCAGGTAATGGTAACTCTTGGTCCGGGAACTGGGAAGATATCCAGTTTCCAGATATTCCTATCAGATGGGCCTTGTTAGCGTTGCTAAGTTCACGTGACTCATCCAGTTTGTTTGGTGGACTCACGGCGTTCATATAAACAGTTTATGCTTTCAATTTGGAACGCGTGAGCTTCGTCCTGTTTGTCTGTATGATCCTTACGTGAATGGACAGGTAGCCCACCTATATGAGATTTGCCGAGGTGGTAGGCTTTGTCCTTTACACGTTTTTTATCATCTGGACAGTCCAAAATTGGAATGGTCAGCTCCATCTTGCCTTTGTGTTTGATCTTAGCTTCGTATGGCCTATCCGGGTGCATGTGGAACCCAGGTGGCAATCGACGTCTGTTTGCATGAAATGCTTCCAGAGTTGCAGCCGCCATGTGGGAGGATGGGAAAATTATCTTCATTAGACGGGGTCTAGGGTCACCATCCTTCTTGGCTAGTCTCATCACATGCTGAGTCAGTATGTGTTTGAGCCTCAAGGACTGGTTAATGAATTTCCATTCCCTGACGCCAGAGTTTCATTGAGTAGGGTTTGTATTTTCCGGTATACCTTGCACAATTATGTTTCTTCCGCGAAAAACTTCTCGCGAGATTCTTTAGGGGTGTTCCGTATGACATTGCGCCCAGAGTACGGTATGTTGGGCAATATTCTTATGTTACCATCGGATTTCAGCAAGTGACTTGCTAGCAAGACGTCCTCTACGTCGGTAGCATTCTTAAGTGTTACTCGAAGAAGCCTCGGGCGGTTAGATGCTTAGAATCCTTTCTTCGAGTGAGCCGGGTGACCGTCAAAGGCTCTATTCTAGGAAGTTTGAGCTTCTTGTTCAGTTACACCAGAGCATCCTATCATTTTTGTCCTACAGACTGAGAGGAAGGTCAGGATTGTCAATGAGATTCATGATTATTAGAGAATCGTCACGAACTGTTGTTGATTTACCAGGTTTCCCGGAGGGTTCAGGTTTAATACCTTGTTGTTTGGAGGTCAAGGCACGTTTTTGAATCTTGGGCTCTTTGATGACCGGACGAACATTCTTGGGGGTTGACTGTGAGACCAAATCACCAGTTGTTTTCCGTACGACAACACTTGGGATACTCAGCGTAGGCGGTGACACCTGGTTCTTTTGGGCTCTGCTAACGTGGGCCGAATCACCTACAGGGTTTTTGGGAACCGCTGTTGTGTTCAGGGACCCTGAACTGGGAGACCCGAGTTTACTTAGGGAGTCTAATACTGTCGACGTAATGATGGTGCTGAGCTTCAACACGTCAACGTTAGTGCTATTGGATGCTCCATCGATGGTATACCTGTCGACATTCCTGTTCTCGTTTTCAATGCGCTTTCTTGTTTGTCTACCCATTTTTTGGCTGTCTTTTCCCAAGTTTGCCAACAACTTGCTCTGCAGACCTGTCAGTAGGACAATGATATTACTCAGCAAGACTGCAGCATCCGTGCTGCACGTAACACATTCCCACTTATGATCCGGCTTGCTTGGTCTGTATAAGCAACTGCTGTGAGATCTGTGCACGCTTCGTGGAACCAACCTTTGCAGTTGTCGCATTTCATGCCATTTGTAACAACAAAACGGCATCCCGGACGTTTGCATGAGTTTTTCATGACTATGTTGAAGCAAACTATGTTATAGATGCTTGCAATAGTCTAAGACCGTAAAAAGACACTAAAAAGCACACTGAAAACGGACAAAATGGATAAAAACGGATAAAAACGAGTGGGATAAAATGAATTAGTCTTTATGTGAAAAAAAACCGAATAGTAAGCTGAGGCAAAAACGACAGTTAACTATTAAATATAGTGAAACTAAAAAAAGTAATCTACCGAAGGTATAGCTCAGGATAGATTCTTTAGAACTGAAATGGTACTTTTGTTGCGTAAGAACACAGAAAAAGTTTGATAAATACAAATCACGTTAGGACTAAACTTCCCGTTCAAAAAGCACGCCTACGTTAAATCAACAAAGTTACGCATCGCTTAATAAAAAAGCAAAAGTATTGTCATAAACACAAGTAACAAAATACGAACACAGACTTCGGTTTTTGGTTAGCTAAAGTGTTTCGACATGCTTAGTAGCCATCACAAATAACAACCGTGATGCAAGTGAGTGACGTGCTCTCCGTTCTTCATGTTCATTATAACTAATTACCTCTTTAGTCCAATACTATGAGTTCGAATAAAGTCACTGGTAGAGCTCGTAGACGTACGGTCACTATTGGCTGTCATTGATCGACTTATTACAGACGGTGGAATAAAATACGAACAGCCTTCATGAAAAAATCATAACTTGCTTTCGTTTAGTCAGTTTGCTAATGAAAGCACAGTCAAAGGTAGCTGACTTCATCAGTGATGTATGTTAATTGATAGCAGTCGAGAGAGAAGTTAATTGTAGTGAGAATACTTCAACTAGCAACTAGCTACAGCAATCAAAGGCTTCTAGATGATAATGGTATGTGTATGAAGTGAATACGTTAATATATTTTTTATAGGATGTAATGTCGTTAATCTATGCTCTCAAAAGTCCGTAAATCGTAAAGAGCAGATCAACAATGTATTGATGAAATGATTTACAAAAAGATTTCTCAGCATCAGTGATGCTGGTCGAAATCTGGATAGTTCCCGAGACCTGGTCCCGGACTTACCAAGGAGCATCAGACGTGTCCTGAGGACATTTACAAGTAACCAGTCACAGTTCATGAGCAGTGGGGTTAACTACCACCTCGGATTGAAAGTCAATCTGCTAAGATATGTTGAACTTTGAATGTGTACTTTAGATTATGATACTTTAAATTTGTATATTAATGTAGATGGACTTTCTATGTTTAGGAGTTCTAATCAACATTTATGGCCTATATTAGGACGGATCGCTGTCCCAAGGTTTAGTGACGTGTTCATGATATAGATCTACGGAGGGAATAGTAAACCGGTAAAATTCAACGAATTTTCTAATGACACAATCTCTGAAATAAAGGAAATGAGTGACTTGGGTCAGTTTAGTGCTAAGTTTAATAAGCACATGTAAATTTATTCAAACATATACCATTTTCCACGTTGATTGCAGTTTCAGTGCAGTGTTTCATGGGAATAAAGCGAACATGGGAGACCTTTGGGGTTATGCCAATGGTGTTCTCAAAGTTGTAGCAAAAGTAGAGAATTCGGCGTATATATAGGCGAAAAGTAAACAATTCAGCGACATGTGAGAGATAGAGCGACAAAAAGGGGAAATCCGCATTGTTTCCGCCGGACAAGCGAAAAAGCAGACATTTTCGCGCGTTTCCCATTTATTTCCGCTTTCTTGCTTGATTGGGTAACCACCAGCCGTAAATCATAATTCTAAATACTCATATTGCTTTATAGCCGACATTTAGTCCTAATTGATAGGTGGGTCACTTTAGAGTCGCTCAAAGGTCGTCCAAAATTATATTCTCACAATACAGTCGCAGAAACTTACAAGACAATGGTTGACATAAGATATTACCCCTCAATACACTAGTTTGGACCACTGGTTTTGAAGAGCCCCCTCAATATCCAATATCATTGCAGTGAGCTTGATCCAAAACAGTGATTGCAGAGCGCTCGATTCATGTTGTTTTGGTGAGGTTCATGCGTCCGATGATGTCCAATGCTGGATTGTCTATCACTTTAACTCTATTAGACTCAGTCAGTTCTGTAGTTTTGGTGGGTTCGTGTTAGATTTTTATTCAAGTGTTTTTGTTTCTCTGAAGTAAAGTTTCTCGAACCAGTAAACATCACATGAACGAAGAAGAGGTTGGTTAGATAAGGTTTGAGGAATAATAATAGAGGAAATATTCGAGTTCTGTACGTAAGGTAAAAGAGATTGCTTCACGAAATAAATAAATAATTTAATAATAATCTTAACAACATGATGAGATCGAAATGTAAGAATCGTAGATGAGTTGTGAGACATGGATCAAGCGTTAATAATCAAAGTGGAAGATGAGAACGCAGATCACTAACTCCTAATGATTTTAAATCCTCTTCACTTTCATCTGATTTGACAGGATGATTGTCAATTTCACTGCTTGAATTACTGAATGATTCATTGTTATCACAGTCAGGTTGATTATTTTGTATACTATCTGAATTGTGAACAGCTTGAGTATCCCGTACAGATTGTGGGACTTTAATTAAATTTGACAAGTGATCACGTTCAAGAATTTGGTGATACTGACTTGGTTTGGCGTCGTCTCCCTATGATAAATATAATGAAGTTTGATGAGATGGACACTGCATACATATTATCATTAATATAACTAATAACAAGAAGATTAAAGAGTTTAAAATTTATACTGATTTACTAGAAAATTTTGTAACGAATTAGAGGACTGCACTGACAAAACAGTATAGGACTTCACATAAAAGTACTGAAGTTCAAGATGCTGGCAATGGGTAGGGGTAAAATGAGGGAAAAACAAGACATACAACGAATAAATAAACTAGTCAGAATTTAAAAAAGTGAGTAATGAACACTTCCGTCCTGTAGTGGTGAATTTTGTGAGCCGCCACTGACCTTTCTTGTTCTAAAGAACCTCAGTCGTAAAGTATACGTAATTGATTTGCTAGGTTCTATGTTGCTTATGATTGACAAACTAACGTGCGCGAATACCATGAGGTGATTTGACCACACTTTTTTTCAGTCTACTAATATTAGTGGTTGTTAAACATGTGTAATACATATCATAGCCAGTACATTTGGCACAATGGTACATCAGTGACTGAGTTGGCTCACGTAACTAGAGCTCTAAATTTTGCTTCAACACTGCATATTCAGTTCAACTTATGGCATTGATGTTTGGAACATAGTTATGATCGAATACCTATAACTCTGCCGTCACATGTCTTTAATAAGGTAAATATTATACAACATTAAGGAAGAACAGATTACATTCCCATGTAATAAACTTATGTTTCCTGACAATACCAACAATTAATGTGTCAGCAGTTGCGAGTAATTTTTGTCTGTTATGGAGTTTAAGTGAAATCGAACAATCTATAACAAAACTGGTTGAGTACTCAGAATAACAGGGGAAAATAAATATTGGTGCAATAAATTATAATTTAGTGTTTCGAATAATGACTGTCAAGCTAATTTACAAATAGTACGACGAGGACGAATCGACATGAAAACAGTAGTAAAAGTGTTGAAGAAAATTGATTTGAAATGAATATTGTTAAGATATTTGCGAAAATATAAACAACAGGAGCATCTGGGATGTCACGTATGAGTGACGCTTTGACGGTGTAATTAATGAAATGCCTTAAAGGTTCGCATGATTTAGAATTTAATTGAATGTATTTGATGACCATAAATAAAAATAAAACCGTAGTTATGAATAAAGCATTCACAAGAGGTGCTAAAAACATGCCAGTGCTGTAATAAAAATACCGAATGATATTTAAGGAAGATTCTCATGAAAATCCTATGTAATATGATTTTTTTTACCTGAAGTATTTTCATACGAAGATTTCTTTCCTCGTCATCTTGTTCGTTATATTTTTGTTTAATTTTTTTTAGCTTAGCTTTCTGACCACGTTTTAAAACCGGTTGACCAGTTGATGGTAGTAATGGCTCATTGAGTTTCTTGTTTACTTGTGGTGTTTGAATTAACTAATGATTCTTTTGTACTTGTTGAATGCTCGATTTCGAATTCTAAATACAGTACATTCGTTGTGCCTGTGTCTTCTTAATTCAATTGCGTTAATCCTGGGATTCCTAATTCATACTATAATTAGAATACTATATTGGCGTCGCGATGGAGCCTGCAATGGAAAAGTTAGATATTCATTCAACTTCAGAAGCTTTTGAAGATTACTTTGAAAGGTTCGAAATCTGGGCTATGACCAAGGAAGATGATGAGGATGTTAATATTGTGGCACACTTCCTCACATTCATTGGAAAAGAAGCATACAGCTTATTAAGAACTCTGGCTATGCCGGAAAAACCCATTTCGCTTTCTTATACAGCTCTCAAGGATCTACTGCTAGACTATGCTCAGTATACAAATTTCAAATGTCGTAAAGGAGGAAGATTTCGTAAAATGATTCATGAGGATATAAAAAAGTCCACTACATTACTACGTCATCTCAACCTAGTGCATACTCAAGGTTATGCAGACAATTCATTGAATTTGGATGCAGTTCACGAGGATGGGGAGAAGTTTGGTCAGTGTTTGTCCTGTTGCAAGTTCCACTCTTCTAATTCATGTAAATTTCATAATTCTAAATGCTTCAAATGTCGTGATATTGGACACGTTCAGTCAGTTTGTAATGCTAATGTTCATCTTACTGCAATTAATATTAAGTCTTGTAATTCTGATTCTACTGAGTCGAGTATTCATGATGATCATTTATCTTTATCAACGATTTCAAAAGACAGTGCAGAGTCATATGGCAGTTCAGAGTTAAATGAAATCCAGAATTCTTGTGAGACAACAGTTCCTAATCAACCGATTTATCAGAATTCTCATGCTATTGTACCAAGTATGACTTTTCCTAATGATTCACATATTTCTAATGAAATTACTTGCAATTCTGAGGAAAATATGTTAAATGAACCTAATCATGATCGAAAACCTGATGTGGTTTGGATAGATGCTGATTTCTCTAACGATCCTACGCTCTGCAACGACAGTCCTGATGAATTTCATGAGAATATTTCAGAAGAATCAAATCCTGATGTCATATCATATATTACCTATCCTCATAATGTATTTGATCTTCGTGAAAAACCTGCCCAATGCGAAGCACGAGTACTAAGTGACCTCGAGTTTTATTATATTTCGGATGATTTCATATCAACTGCTGTTTACTCTTATCACAAAAACAGTTCTAATGTTTACTCTAAACAATGTGAGATATATGTTTTAAATGAAGCCACATTATTCATAACTTGGGAGTATAAAGATCCAACATTATTTCGTGGGGGGGGATAGTGTTGAAAAATCTATGGTTCGAATTCTAGATATTAATGATTTCATTACAAAACCGACATGCTGGTTGTATACAATTCCAGGTGAGTCTGTTCCGATTTCGTTTGTTAATTCCAACACTAATGAGCACTTTCTAGATACTACAAAGTTTTTATCTTATACAATGTCGGACAGACTCAGGATGAACTTAACAAGAAGACGTACAACCGATTACAAACACTTATACTTCTATTTAAGCTGTGGCGGATGTGGTGTTTGAATTAAATAATGATTCTTTTGTACTTGTTGAATGCTCGATTTCGAATTCTAAATACAGTACATTCGTTGTGCCTGTGTCTTCTTAATTCAATTGCGTTAATCCTGGGATTCCTAATTCATACTATAATTAGAATACTATATTACTTCAATGGTTTCTTTATTTAAATTTGTTGTTTTCTTGGTTGGTTTCGATTTTTCAACCTTTTGACCTCTTGTCCTAACTTTTTTAAAAGGATTTTCTGATAAAATCTCCGATACATCAGGATCTTTATGTCTGAAGCAAAATATAACAATCAAGGTTATTTTTAAATACGGTTTAAAGAAAATAAAATTTTAAGAAGTAGTGACATGTAAAAAGATTTCAGTTCATTTATTAAAAAGTTTATGAGAATGAACTAATTTTCCAGTTACTAGCAACCTATCAGGAACTACATACATATTTATGTACCAGGTTATAAGTGTTAATCATGGGGTAATAGCAAATAATGTCGCAAATGAGCCAGACTACCCGCTTACCGAGAAAATTGACGGATTAATTCATGAAGGAATATTAGTGTTTAAGAGTTTTGTATATCGAGAACTATTTTTTAATGATTAAGTAGACAACTAAGTGAATCATGGATAGATTGACTATCAAAGAATACTACATGACCAAGTTGTGGCCGACATTAAATACATCACATACAAAGGGAAATCTAAAGAGACAAATTAAACGTAAGTAAAACGCTCAGATTCCACCATTACAAGACATCCAACCAGAAATTTCACATTGATCGAAAGAATACCACCATTGATCAATCTTCTACGTTAAACCAAACTACCATAGTCCTTGGTGCAACACTAATCAACTGTACAAGTCAATCCTTAAAGAGCTGGTACCCACTTAGTCAAATGAAAAACACATGTCAAACACTTTTAGTTTTCTTTCTCCAAGTCATTTCGGAGAGTTATCCATAAGCGTTTTTACCCATTAAGAGTAGATTATGCATATACAGTAATTTGATATGAGAACTTATAATATGTCTCAAGGAAAAATTGAAGGTGGGAACAAAAGTTGAGAAATTTAAGATCAAACGCAACAATCAATATAAAGTATAATAACTTTAAATACCAAAAAAGATAAACACTGAAGATATTGTTAGTAACGAAATAAGCTTAGCTTGTAAGAATATAAGATTTGAACACCGTAACAGATTAGCGAAAACAGCCACACTCATTTTGAATACCTTGGGAGATCATTTGCTAAATCAAGTTGAAGAAAAGCATCAGGAAATGCTGTAGTTTCTTCATTATTCTGGATAGTTAATGATTCGAACTGATTAAGGGGCATTTCGTAAGATGGGGTGTCTATGATGATGATGCGACGCTCTCCTTCATGTTTAGCTATAGAATCCTCATGTAACTGAAATCGTAAAACGTATGGAGAAAAGAATTACAATGAGTTGCAACAAAGCATAATTTATCTGGCCCATTTAAACTACTTGACAGTTATAAAGGATAAAACCACAGTGACTACAAACTTTTGATAGAGAATAGATGAACTGTGGCCAACAATGGAATCTAGGATGCACGTTTTGCCCTGTTTGGAACTTGTTAACTGGGTGTACCTACCTGGATTCTAGAGTTGATGTTCACTTCAAGACTAGAATCCAGGACCATTCACAATCAAAGGCCATCGCGTTATCCACTAAGCTACTGAGTCCATATAGTAATTCACATGTCCAGCAGGTATGAGTTTTAATTCGAGTTACCAACAGAACGCTAAATCCCCTGTATATGTATATAGGAATTGATGAGAATCATAGATGAAACGAAAACCTTCTTCATGAGTGTCGAAACGCCTCAAAAAATAGGATGGTTAAATTTATTGTCTTTCATGTATTGGATTAGTTTTATTCTAATTATGCTATTTTACGACGTAATAATTAGATTTATTATTATTCCTGACTCAAAACACCTTGATTTTATAAAAACAGCCATTTCACAAAGAAATAAACATATTCGTGTCGACTTCAATAGTGTCACTTTTGTGTTTCGTTTTTTGAACTATCGTTGCAACTTTAATGATAACAATACAAAAAACTTTCATGTTCAACCCTACTTATGGCTGAAAAGTTAAAGTCGTCTGTAAATCTAGTAGGCACCCTTCGAATAAAATGAATTCCTATTGTTCTACAAGTCTTTTTATTCTAGCTATTTTAAGTACAGAAACGTAAACTTTTACCTTAAACATAATTCCAAATCCATAGTCGAAGGGACATGGAGGTAAATAGTTTTTCTTCCCACGTATCATAAATGCACCAGATGTAAGGTATTCACCACTTGGAGCTGTTTTTGAAACTTGATCATGATGGACCCACCAAGCTCTTGTTAGAACATGACTTTGCCATGCAGAACTTTGTGCTACCGCCACATTTCTTTAATTCCTCTTCAGCTGGAAGTTGGTTTGTTCTCTCCTACAGTAGGCTGTTGTTGATAGTATCCGGTCAACAGAGACTGAGTACCTTGCGTAGACAACTGTTTAAAAATACTTGTAAACTTCGATGATGTTTGTAGTAGTTCTCCAAGTTCCAACTCCACACAGTAATACTCCTGAGTTGAAATTATGACTTTGATATTGGTTGACAGTTGTTTTGAGTTTCACATGTTCTTAAATTGTAGGAGCTCGGCCCTTGCTTTGCCAATCCTCCTCTTTACATCTGCATGTGATCTACCACGTTCATCGATGATGCTACCCAGATACGTGAAAGCTACGATCTCTTTAAGCTCTTCATCATCAAGTGTGATTGGGTTGATGTTCTTCGAGTTGTATTTCAGGATATTGGGCTTTCCCTTGTGTATGTCGAGGTCAACTGATTCAGAGGCTTCTGCTATACTGTCTGCTTTGACCTACACTTGTGTGGGTATGGGATAGAAGGGTAAGGTCATTTGCAAAGTCCAAATCGTCTAGTTTTATCCGAGTTGTCGATTGTATTCCATTGTATAAGATTGCACGCTGATTACGAATTCCAAACATAGTACGTTCGCGTGTACTCATTCAGTAGCAGTTGGGTTGAATAAAATAATGTAGTTTCCAAAAGTACATAGCATCAAATTGACGCCAAGCAATTCAGTGAATCACTGGCAGGCTGAGACTAGTCTAGTAGCCAGCACATTCTGTTGAGAGGGCAATAAACTTCAACCGAATAAGAACATAATTCGTAAAGTAAGTGAATGAAAAAAATCGAAGGCAGGACACGATCAGGCTTCCATAAATTCTGGTCTGCTCAATCAGCTATTTGTCGCGAATAGATTATCATTGACCTCCGGATGTCATATAAACCAACATTTGATTTCCATCATTTAGTATTCGGATCATAGTCGTAATCTCATGATACTTCGGACGAAGTTTGATATCATATTACTAATCCCTCAGTCTACAACACGGACATTGTGAAGGTTTTAATAGTTTTTGGCCTCGGTAATGGAATGTAGGATATTAGTTATAATATTCGCTGATGTAACACATCCTCTGATGGTCTTTACATGTGTTGCATCACGTTTGAACAGTCACAGATTGCGCAATATATTGTCAGACTGAATGGTCAGACTGCGTGCATGGCGTTTGCTAGCAGATGTAAAAATGTAGAATCTTATGAGTTAGTATAAAATCCAGTACAGACGATTACTTGTTTAAAAAAGATGTGGGTTTAGACACATAAGGCATGGTCTGTCACGATCATACGGAATTCCGTATTGTATGTATTGTCAGACTCATTCGAGAGCATACATGTCAAAGTTATGACATGAGGATTGGATCCCCAAAAACCAAAGTCGGTTACTTATAATTTAGGGATCGATTTTTTCGGGTTCAAAACTACGGATCGGACAGATTCGGCCATGACAAATGACATGCACTAACGAAGTAAAACCTATGAATCTGTGTCTATAACAAGCAAATTAACATGTTCCGAATTCGTGACAATAATAAAAACGCGCATATGTCGACAGTCTTTATCGGAATTGATACTTCACTTTTCCACGACATCGTGCTTGGTGACTGATCATTACCGAGTGTTTCTGGAGTAGCGCCATGTTTATGCTGCGATCAAGTTCCGGATACAGCTTTGATGTACTATCCTAGCTCGTCTACTTCTATCACTTGACCATGTGCTATTTCTTCGACTTCGAAGATTAATTTTGGAAATTCTCAAGGTAAATGACATATTTTCACAGCTCTCCGGAGTGATTTTCCAACAGTTTTTTGTCAAAGTTTTACTTCATACAACGTAATTTGTTCAGTCCAGTATTTGGTAAGTCTGCATATAGTTTGAATTACGTTGTGAGCTGAGAGAGTGTACAGGACAACCCGTAGGAAGTAAGAAGGAGGAACAATATAGCGTGAGCTTTTGGCTTATTAAGCACGAAAGATTCACATGTATTCATTGATAAAGGAATACAGGCGAAAAATTGGGATATCCGATAAAAAGTCTTAAATGAAAAAGGTTTTCTTAAAAAACCTTACGACCCTAAATTTTCCCTATCTAAAGGCTGTGAACTAGAAAAAGTCTGAGACAGACTGAGGAGTGGTCTCTTCAGCTATTGTGAGGATTGTCCTAAGCTGAATAGAATACACTTCAGTGTCATTTGGCCTCAGTCAAAGACATGCGATGGAGGCACCAAGGCTACGTTCCCGCTAATGACACACGCTGCACAGGCAGAAAGCCCACAGAAATCATGTGTCATAGCACTGGTTATATAAACTTGAAAAATAGTCTGTTGCCGCTGGGGAACACCAGGTGATATGAAAAGTCATCGGTTGTCTTTATAGCAACATATGAAGACCAAGCGCTATAACATGAGGGATCGAAAACATGAACATTCGAATGGATCAAATTACAGATCTGAATAAAGCACGGGTTTCTCTCAACATCAAGGACAACGAAGTGGGCAAGCAATGCATGACACCTTTCAGATATGAAAAGATACACAAAACAGGATGTATAAACATCTAATTCAAAGAAACACTACCAAGTAAAACCGAACAAACCGAGGCGATGAAATCAAGCTAATCTTGTTCCAGTGTGAACGCCGACACCTGGTTGGAGGAGAATATGTGGGTTTTACACAGGTGCTTAAGGCCAGAAACACAGTCCAACCAAAGCACTATCGTAACTACTACACTCAGAAGTCAGACAGATCATCGCAGCCAAAGACGTAAACAATTACGTCAATATCAACGAACTGAATATAACCTTTAAAAAGTGATTCCGTAGTCGTATTGTGAAAGTCATTAGGGGCTCAGAAATGAATAAGCATATGAGTGACGTCACGGTATGAGACGACGGCGAGAAACCCTCAAACGTAGACCGCCTACTGTTAAACGATCTGCCCCCAGTTGAAGGTCTCCCTGTGAAAGTGCCAATCAGCAGTAGTGACCGCGGTACAGTCATATTTGATTCCATCACAAACGAGGTGCTTTAGAGGTACAAGGATACTTCTTACGTTCTTCGCTTCAGAAGAGACTACATATACATGAGTAAGTGCCTTCAAAAGGCCATAATTACTGGAGGCCAACCATGGATGAACAGTGGGAGACCGCAACACATATTATTCAAAAGGATGGCCTGTGCAGTACCCTTTAGACTGTAAATATACCTGTCAAATCAGCATCATATTTGAAGTGAGATACAGAACAGCTGATACAAACAAAAGAGAGCCTGAGATAAATGGGAAGCCTTCCTAAAAGATCCTGGCTGTAGCTAGATTCAGTGCCAAAGCGAAGGGTGATAAAATATATTTACGTGTCAAGCTAGTGATTAAGACACGTGTTAGTCTGAAATACGAACATAGGTTCATGGTAGAACGCACATATACACGCAAAATGTTCACGAACTGAAGGAGCATAACGGTGTGGATCCTATTATTCTGGAGATAGCAGAAACCGTTAATGTCAAGGTCAAAATTTAGGGTATCGGAATGTCACGATATGGACATTTAGCCTCATAAGACTCAAACAGCTTGAGTCCCACATCAAAATTCCTTCCCCGTTGTCTCCACAGAGGGTGATCCAGGACAATTGACCACAGAAAACATAAATGCCCTCCCAAACTACATTGAAAATGTGAGCAAAACAAACCCACGTCTATACGCAGAATCACATTTATGCTGTCACCCTAGAATTGTTTCAAACATCCTTTAGAACATGTACATGGCCTCGCCTCGAAGCTTTCAATGTTGTTTTGTTCTCTACTCAAAACAGATATGAATATCTTAGAACCGACCCAGAAACGACAAACGAAGTAGGTGATGGGGTGCGAAAAAAATCCTACAGAAATGAGCTCCGATATTTTGGATTATTCTCGTGGGACTATCAGAGAGTAAGAGGTGACCTGATAATGGCTCACGATACTAATTACGCCAAGTCACCCTTGCGTGGGCACCCTTTCAGAACCCCGTCCCCGCGCCCCTCAATACAGAGTCCGGAAAACCATACGCCGAGACGCAAGGACTCAGATACGAACTCTCTTTTTTATCACAATTTGTTTTCCCTTTCACTGCTCTCCAGATGAAGTGGCCACCGGGCTCTCCGGTTGGTATGTAGCGTGGCGTCGAGTTGAGGTTAACTATGGACACCGCTACCAAGAAACACGTGCCAAATAAATCAGAAGGCGAAGGTTGGACGTAACCAAAGAAACCCATAAAATCTCCGAGAAGCCAAATACCAGGAGGCAATTAATGGACCAAATTGAGATATATATTTGCTGGCGATCTCGTGGTATCGAAAGGATACCGAGATCGTGCCAGGATACAAGCTTGGTTACAGAACGTAACCGAATTCGCGCAAAGTTACAATCGAAGTGTGTGTATATGAATGGAAGCACAAAATAGCTGTCATTAGCACAGTCAAACAAAATCACATTAAAACAAGCACTGGTACAGTTGGTTATAATAATAATTGTTTTTATTAAACCAGTCGTGTTCTCGTGATAAATGTGAGTCACTACAGGTAGCACTTAGACGAGGCCTAACCGACGGATTATGATCTCGCACTTAGATTATTTGTGCCTGATCCATATTTCACAACTTTTTTTACCATTATTAGTACCACATAACTCCAGCCTATTCCAATCTCGAATATTGTCACGTTTATTTGCCTGTTGTTCATACACTTCGACCTTCTCTTATTGTTTAGATTACAATGAAATAATTTATTTAATTATTTACTTCCAGAAATGGTCGCCTCTTCTTAGTGTTCGACTGCAAATCGTTTAATAATAACCCAACCGACTATGATTTATGTAATCGACTGCCTCTTTTATCACCTATAAGCCACTTCCGAAAACCTTAGGTCTCACGGAAATATTAGGAAGCGGAAAAGCGAAAACCTGAACTTGTTTATACTGGCTTGTGACAAGGATATTAGACTTATTTGTGTATCGTTTTAGAATAGCATCAGAACAAGTTGTTACTATGTCAACATTATGGTCATAAATTTAAATGTTGAGGTCAAGCGATAGCCTGACACTGGAAAATTCATTGAACGCTTTTGAAAGCGAAGAGATACTTCAAGCTTTAGCAGTTGCTGGACTACTGAGTCAAGAGAAGCTTTATCTGGAGCTTACAAACGAAGCCGTAAATTTCGCGAGAAAAGAAAAGTTTAGTTTTTCGCAGTTATGCGCACTCGTTTCGATAATTAACAGGGTGTTGAAAGAACTTTCAAGTAAGGAGTTCGGTGATAATAAGTAAAACCTCAGGTTCTCCATACGATGACATACAGAATGTCCTAGATGTATCGGACAAAATTATGATGAGTTACTCTATCCAGGTATTGTGACTTAACTCCAAGTTTTACTGTAGAGGATTATCTCAACAGAGGCCACCCCACTGCATTGAGTTATTTTCGATCCCTGATTCTTTAAAATGCGTTGAATTTCTCGTGGACTCATTGTTTAGACATTGGAGACTTTACAAGTTCGCTTTAGCTCCAACAGCACGCCTTTTACCTCAGCTCATTCACGATACAAAAGGTGAGTCAGGAATTATTAACCGACAGTTGAAGTCTTAATATGCTTTTTACAAATACTTCCTATAATCAAGCTTTAGTTGTTTACCCGGTGATCTGTTAGTTGTGTCCCATGTAAAAAAATCCTCGAATACAGACTAAAGTTTTATTGATGAAATATCAAATCCATACGAATGTTTTTGAAATCTATAATTGTCTATTCAACTTCTGTTTGCAAGGTTCTCACTGAACATTAAACGACAGAATCTTAACTAGCCATCAACTCATATTTCATTCATCACTTAATTTGTATCACTGAGGGTCATTTGGTGTAAGATATTAAAACTTTTGTAAACAGAAATGGAAGAGCCCAATTACAGTAAACATCCTGACATTCATCACTGAAACAAAACACTATTAGGAAAATAGACTCTTTACTAAGGTTATAAACGTTATTAGTTTATATCGTCACTGTGCTTAAGCTTTATACAGCTTACAAATCGAACCTTAGCCACTGAATTTGAAACGACTCTAAGCTCCCAAACTATTTGAAAGTGAATTTCGCGATTGTAGACTTATCCCATGTGACATCAGGTTTATGGATTTATTTTGGTCAGAAATTGTAAAAATGTTTTCAGATTGAAGATGTGATGACCAATGCGTTTTAATAGGCTGACACTAAGACAATAAACTCGTGATCCAAAATAGCCCTTTTAGTATACAACATATTAAAATGTCTTGTTATTCAAACTTTCATTTAAATTCTCTTCGATTGTTAAAAACTTTTTGACAGATTATGAATCGGAAATTGTCGACTTGAAACCATCAGGTAAAATGAAAACGTGTTGGACCGAGTTAACGCCATTTTACTTTCTAGGAACCGATTTATTATACTCAATTTTAAAATATGCACTCGAAGATCAAATTGAAGTCAACAAACATTAAGATCAAATCGGTAATTGATTTGTGACAAATTGTTCTAAGAGGTATCCTCTTAATTCTTACATGTGATACGTTACGTAATCAACAAAGCGAACGCTTGTAGAGAGAACTTACGAAAACACTTACTGTTAATAAATGATTACATACACATCACGCCTACTTCTTCGGAATCGGTTGATTATACTGGTAAAAGTGCCAAACTTACGTAGAAAGTATGTATAAAACTAAACTATGTTGTATTTCATGAAACGATTTCTATGACTACTATGATTAAGAAGCTAAAACAACGTGTATGCACTACTTTAAACGAAAATGATTTGCTTTGCTCCTAAAAGCCGGTCAAAATCATCTGGTGAAATAGTTTAGTATACTTTATGACATCGGTTACTACTACTTGGTTAACACACTAAATACAGTTTAACAAAGCAACGACGACTATAATAGCTTAGCAATAATAATCCTAATAATAGTGTCTAGATGGATGTTTAAATATTCATTGGGAAATGAGTTTGCTGATACCTTGGTAAAAACAGGAAATCAAGTTTAAAACTTTTGTTTATAGCCTATGAACATGAATTACGTCCATGTGAAATTGTAAGGATACTAGTTTGCGAGGTTCAAGGATTTAAAAAGACGTCGTTATTTATGATTCTAATCTCTATATTCGTGATTGCTTGTCAGTTAGTTTGTGACAAAATTACAGTTACAACCAACGTCAAAAAGATTAACAATTTTTTATTCTTGATTAGAAGAGACGTAACTACAAGTGGAAATGTTCATACATTTACAGAAAATAAGAAAGCTTTCTGGTAAGACTTTTGAATAACACTTGGAAGTCAAGGAGGAAAGTAATAGTAGTCACAAGCAAGATCCTGTTCAGTATGGCTAAGAATATCAGGGAGCAATTAGGGTTTAAGCAAAAAATCACAATTGGACTTTAAAAAACATAAAGTGAAAGGAAAATAGGTTTTATTTTTTTCGTGAGGGCTTAACTTGAGGTAACGTTAACTTTACACATCCTGGGAAATTACGCGATACTTCTTCATCTTTCATTGCACGTATTAATTCTCGTTCTCTGTTGTTTGTGGATTTGTCCGATGTAAACTGAAACAACGCCATTTTCGATGCTAATTTTAGGCAAATAGAAGAAATAAAAAAATTCTATACTAGTCATAAACACGAAACCATAATAAATGTCAGTCAGCCACTCAACTAATTGAAATTTATCAAATCATTTTGCTTTGTAGCAGCTTAATTTCACGTACCATTAGACATTTAACTGAACCCCTGGCGAATGTACATTTTCATTTTGCTTGTCCGTGAACAGAGCGATTAGACACGTTGATCCCGCTGACTACGCCATGCGTGATGTAATTGTTGTCTCGAGTTTTGCTAATTATATGAAATACATTGTCCTATAAACCTTTGTAGTTGGCTTCTGATTTTACAATTCCTGACAGAAGTTGAGTCAGTAGTGTCTAGAACATCTGATGTTACGGAGTACCTCCAAATAGTAGCAATTTGGAGCGCAATTAGTTAAAAGATTCCTCAACCACTTCGATAAATTATAAGTCATCATACAAGCATACTGTTAATAAGCTACCAAAAGAGGCTATTCTAATTTTTTCTTTACACGAAAACGATGCTCAGTAAACGAGCTTTTGCAGATGCCATTATGAAATTGCTGACATTACATGAAGTATTACGTTGTATCAACTGAGAAGCACACTAGATAAAATAATAGTTAACACACAGTAGCGTTTACATATTAAGTAATAGGTAGAAAATAATTTGCACAGTTTAAACAGTATATACTTTAATCATTGCATCAAATTAACATCAAAGCCCAAGAATATCAAGGACTCCATGATGGATATATCAAGCTGTACAGAACAGAAATTACCTAAGACTTTTGTAAACCAGTAACAGTAATGGAAAACGAAATAAAATTACGCTAGAGAATATGTGGAGTATAATTTTGAAAATATTTTAGCGCAATAAGAGAAGACAGGCCGAAATTATTGGTCGAGGAGAATATGAAAATTTAATTCTTTAATCATTTTCAAGCTGGAAAAATGATTATTTTAGTTGAGGATTGATAACCATTCTAAATAACAGATGATGATGGCAAAATAATTTGTAAAACAGTAAACGGATATACAGATGTTGTTTATCATACCTTTTCCTCGCTTTGTAGTTCCTGGGTTCAGTTTTACTCTGAACTTATACTTTAATAGAACTGAATAAGGAGCACAGACTGGAATAGCATACAATAGTAAATCATCATCATTGGGCTGACCAGTCAATGAATTTAACAATGAAGTTAAATCATCTTTCGATTCAACTGGCATATCTTCGTCATCATCATTATCATTAGTTTTTACATCATTAACTTCTAAAGATTTTAAATCCTCTTCACTTTCATCTGATTTGACAGGATGATTGTCAATTTCACTGCTTGAATTACTGAATGATTCATTGTTATCACAGTCAGGTTGATTATTTTGTATACTATCTGAATTGTGAACAGCTTGAGTATCCCGTACAGATTGTGGGACTTTAATTAAATTTGACAAGTGATCACGTTCAAGAATTTGGTGATACTGACTTGGTTTGGCGTCGTCTCCCTATGATAAATATAATGAAGTTTGATGAGATGGACACTGCATACATATTATCATTAATATAACTAATAACAAGAAGATTAAAGAGTTTAAAATTTATACTGATTTACTAGAAAATTTTGTAACGAATTAGAGGACTGCACTGACAAAACAGTATAGGACTTCACATAAAAGTACTGAAGTTCAAGATGCTGGCAATGGGTAGGGGTAAAATGAGGGAAAAACAAGACATACAACGAATAAATAAACTAGTCAGAATTTAAAAAAGTGAGTAATGAACACTTCCGTCCTGTAGTGGTGAATTTTGTGAGCCGCCACTGACCTTTCTTATTCTAAAGAACCTCAGTCGTAAAGTATACGTAATTGATTTGCTAGGTTCTATGTTGCTTATGATTGACAAACTAACGTGCGCGAATACCATGAGGTGATTTGACCACACTTTTTTTCAATCTACTAATATTAGTGGTTGTTAAACATGTGTAATACATATCATAGCCAGTACATTTGGCACAATGGTACATCAGTGACTGAGTTGGCTCACGTAACTAGAGCTCTAAATTTTGCTTCAACACTGCATATTCAGTTCAACTTATGGCATTGATGTTTGGAACATAGTTATGATCGAATACCTATAACTCTGCCGTCACATGTCTTTAATAAGGTAAATATTATACAACATTAAGGAAGAACAGATTACATTCCCATGTAATAAACTTATGTTTCCTGACAATACCAACAATTAATGTGTCAGCAGTTGCGAGTAATTTTTGTCTGTTATGGAGTTTAAGTGAAATCGAACAATCTATAACAAAACTGGTTGAGTACTCAGAATAACAGGGGAAAATAAATATTGGTGCAATAAATTATAATTTAGTGTTTCGAATAATGACTGTCAAGCTAATTTACAAATAGTACGACGAGGATGAATCGACATGAAAACAGTAGTAAAAGTGTTGAAGAAAATTGATTTGAAATGAATATTGTTAAGATATTTGCGAAAATATAAACAACAGGAGCATCTGGGATGTCACGTATGAGTGACGCTTTGACGGTGTAATTAATGAAATGCCTTAAAGGTTCGCATGATTTAGAATTTAATTGAATGTATTTGATGACCATAAATAAAAATAAAACCGTAGTTATGAATAAAGCATTCACAAGAGGTGCTAAAAACATGCCAGTGCTGTAATAAAAATACCGAATGATATTTAAGGAAGATTCTCATGAAAATCCTATGTAATATGATTTTTTTTACCTGAAGTATTTTCATACGAAGATTTCTTTCCTCGTCATCTTGTTCGTTATATTTTTGTTTAATTTTTTTTAGCTTAGCTTTCTGACCACGTTTTAAAACCGGTTGACCAGTTGATGGTAGTAATGGCTCATTGAGTTTCTTGTTTACTTCAATGGTTTCTTTATTTAAATTTGTTGTTTTCTTGGTTGGTTTCGATTTTTCAACCTTTTGACCTCTTGTCCTAACTTTTTTAAAAGGATTTTCTGATAAAATCTCCGATACATCAGGATCTTTATGTCTGAAGCAAAATATAACAATCAAGGTTATTTTTAAATACGGTTTAAAGAAAATAAAATTTTAAGAAGTAGTGACATGTAAAAAGATTTCAGTTCATTTATTAAAAAGTTTATGAGAATGAACTAATTTTCCAGTTACTAGCAACCTATCAGGAACTACATACATATTTATGTACCAGGTTATAAGTGTTAATCATGGGGTAATAGCAAATAATGTCGCAAATGAGCCAGACTACCCGCTTACCGAGAAAATTGACGGATTAATTCATGAAGGAATATTAGTGTTTAAGAGTTTTGTATATCGAGAACTATTTTTTAATGATTAAGTAGACAACTAAGTGAATCATGGATAGATTGACTATCAAAGAATACTACATGACCAAGTTGTGGCCGACATTAAATACATCACATACAAAGGGAAATCTAAAGAGACAAATTAAACGTAAGTAAAACGCTCAGATTCCACCATTACAAGACATCCAACCAGAAATTTCACATTGATCGAAAGAATACCACCATTGATCAATCTTCTACGTTAAACCAAACTACCATAGTCCTTGGTGCAACACTAATCAACTGTACAAGTCAATCCTTAAAGAGCTGGTACCCACTTAGTCAAATGAAAAACACATGTCAAACACTTTTAGTTTTCTTTCTCCAAGTCATTTCGGAGAGTTATCCATAAGCGTTTTTACCCATTAAGAGTAGATTATGCATATACAGTAATTTGATATGAGAACTTATAATATGTCTCAAGGAAAAATTGAAGGTGGGAACAAAAGTTGAGAAATTTAAGATCAAACGCAACAATCAATATAAAGTATAATAACTTTAAATACCAAAAAAGATAAACACTGAAGATATTGTTAGTAACGAAATAAGCTTAGCTTGTAAGAATATAAGATTTGAACACCGTAACAGATTAGCGAAAACAGCCACACTCATTTTGAATACCTTGGGAGATCATTTGCTAAATCAAGTTGAAGAAAAGCATCAGGAAATGCTGTAGTTTCTTCATTATTCTGGATAGTTAATGATTCGAACTGATTAAGGGGCATTTCGTAAGATGGGGTGTCTATGATGATGATGCGACGCTCTCCTTCATGTTTAGCTATAGAATCCTCATGTAACTGAAATCGTAAAACGTATGGAGAAAAGAATTACAATGAGTTGCAACAAAGCATAATTTATCTGGCCCATTTAAACTACTTGACAGTTATAAAGGATAAAACCACAGTGACTACAAACTTTTGATAGAGAATAGATGAACTGTGGCCAACAATGGAATCTAGGATGCACGTTTTGCCCTGTTTGGAACTTGTTAACTGGGTGTACCTACCTGGATTCTAGAGTTGATGTTCACTTCAAGACTAGAATCCAGGACCATTCACATCAAAGGCCATCGCGTTATCCACTAAGCTACTGAGTCCATATAGTAATTCACATGTCCAGCAGTTATGAGTTTTAATTCGAGTTACCAACAGAACGCTAAATCCCCTGTATATGTATATAGGAATTGATGAGAATCATAGATGAAACGAAAACCTTCTTCATGAGTGTCGAAACGCCTCAAAAAATAGGATGGTTAAATTTATTGTCTTTCATGTATTGGATTAGTTTTATTCTAATTATGCTATTTTACGACGTAATAATTAGATTTATTATTATTCCTGACTCAAAACACCTTGATTTTATAAAAACAGCCATTTCACAAAGAAATAAACATATTCGTGTCGACTTCAATAGTGTCACTTTTGTGTTTCGTTTTTTGAACTATCGTTGCAACTTTAATGATAACAATACAAAAAACTTTCATGTTCAACCCTACTTATGGCTGAAAAGTTAAAGTCGTCTGTAAATCTAGTAGGCACCCTTCGAATAAAATGAATTCCTATTGTTCTACAAGTCTTTTTATTCTAGCTATTTTAAGTACAGAAACGTAAACTTTTACCTTAAACATAATTCCAAATCCATAGTCGAAGGGACATGGAGGTAAATAGTTTTTCTTCCCACGTATCATAAATGCACCAGATGTAAGGTATTCACCACTTGGAGCTGTTTTTGAAACTTGATCATGATGGACCCACCAAGCTCTTGTTAGAACATGACTTTGCCATGCAGAACTTAGTACTACCGCCATATTTCCAGCTTCTAACAAGGTTTTTGGAGGGGGTAATGGTAAACTGTGTTGATGCAATAAGTCTACACAAAACATTTAGAAAAAGAATTTGATTAATTGTTTTAATTAGTAGGATGATACAGGTATACTAATGAAGTGTTATATGGTGATAATTAGTTTTATTGAGATAACCAATGAGCAACCTAGAAGTGTACTGACGTGTGACTTCGAATGTTATGGAAATATATAGTTGAAAGTATACAAACTTTATGAAGTAAAGGAAATCACTATGGACGTACCTGTAAAGTCTATAATTATAAACTAGATATTATTTTATAATTATAATGTAGTAACGGTGTTTTAATTTAAAATTGTAAGTTAAAAATAATATAAATCATTTGCCGATTACATGTTTATGTACTCGGGTTAGGGCTATATAATAGATATGAGAATTAATGATGCTACCCGGTTAGCTGGAGCGAATTAGGTGGAGAGGAGTTTGAACTAGGTACCCATATGGTTGAAAGTCGATAACTTTAATCACTAACCCACTATTCTACTTTAACTTACCCTGATGTTTTGAAGAATCTACCTCTTCAGAAGTTAAATGTCGGGCCTTTATTATAACAGTGCTAGCACCATGTATATCTGCATGAACAAATATATCGCCCGGTTTTAAGTAACGTTTTACCAATACTTCATTTTGTTGTGAATCATGACCAGCAACGACCAAGTAATTTTCTGAACTGATAAACCAGAAGAATTTTTCAAACCTTGTAAAATAAACAAAACTTTAGTGAAATATATGGATGCGTACCAAAAATATAATTATTTTCCCATAAATTGAAGTCAATAAAGAATGAAAATACCTATTAAGTTGTACTATACATCAAGCTCTAAATTGCAGGATTGAATCAGCAGTCTAGGCACTTAATTATCAACTTCCTTCACTTAAACTTGGACAACTGTACTGGCATACCATACTTTTTAATTGGTGTCAAGTGAATGAATACACTTAGAATTTTTATGTGGGTCTCGAAGACACAGTATACTGATAAAAAGCGACCAAAATAAAGGTCGTGGATTAATTCGGTACAATAACCGTTCACTTTAACATACGATTATATTTTCACAAACTCAGTTATCAATTACTCCAGTATGCCATTACACTATATCGTTATTATTAATGGCTTTATTCAATATTATATTTACGGTACAATATAGAATTCTCAGCATAAGGTATTTCAGAAAGTTCCTTTTGCAGAAGGAAAAAAAGTGAAAGAAACTGATAACTACGTACATATACACATAAGTTAAGTAGATAAACTACCTAAAATTAAATGAAATGTTTTTTAAGACGGTTTGAATGTGAATATTTTTTTAAAATTCGAAATATGTTTAGGAATACAAGTTATTGACTAGGTCAATTCTAACAACCTATTCGCCACATAGTATATTTGCCAGATAAGGTGTACGTCAATCTTGTCTTCATCTTTTCTCCACATTTTCAGAATGAGATTATTTGAGAAGGATCTGTTAAAGATGCTTGTGAATGGATAACACAGAACATCAGTACGCCTTTTAAAAAGGAGGTTTGGAATTCATGAAGTCCTAAACAATGGGAAGAGCTAAGTGACTGGAAAAATTTCCGGACATCGGTTTCAGTGAAAATCGAAACATAACTATTATTCGAACCTGTGGATATAGGAAGCATGAAATCAGATGAGTGACGTACAAAAACTTCTTTAAATCATAAACATACCACTGGGTGTCGCTTCTAATGTGTCTTTCACCTGTAAGCTCTTTAGATAGTTTACACATACTTGAAGGGCTTTTACAAGATAGGAGTTTCCGAGTAAACATTGAGTTCAGATGTCTAATCTCTAGGTTTATTAGACCATTTAGCTTCTGAACTTCTGCATTCTTTCTTTTACCCTCCGTAATCGTTTTAGTTGTGATGTAAGTCGATAGAAACTTACAAAAACAGTTTCAGTATGGGGGTTGTGGAGATTGTTAAGTTTTTGGTTGAGATCATGAATTAATTGATGTTAGGCCACCGTTGGAAACCTGGAAGCACTGGACGGCCGTTTCGTCCTAGTATGGGACTCCTCAGGAGTGCGCATCCACGATCCCGCACCCCGCGGGATTCGAACCCAGGACCTACTGGCTTCGCGCCTGAGCACTTAACCATTAGACCACTGAGCCGGCATCCAATGGTGTTAGTGTCTAACATCAACCAATCCACGAAATTGCGCGACCACCTTCCATTGTACTGAGGTAGATACCTGTTTCTACCCGACACGGATTAGCTCCACTGGTCACGACTTCTCACTAGAACTCCGAGAATTCCCTCACGAAGCTAGTCACTAGTGAGCACATGTTAATTATCAGTATGGGGGTTGTGGAGATTGTTAGGTTTTTGGTTGAGATCATGAATTAATTGATGTTAGATCACCGTTGGAAACCTGGCGCGAAGCCAGTAGGTCCTGGGTTCGAATCCCGCGGGGTGCGGGATCGTGGATGCGCACTGCTGAGGAGTCCCATACTAGGACGAAACGGCCGTCCAGTGCTTCCAGGTTTCCAACGGTGACCTAACATCAATTAATTCATGATCTCAACCAAAAAACAGTTTCAGTGGAACAGCAAATATCAAAACAGAATTTAAGATAAAAAACGATATTATCAACAGTATTTTTCAGTGAGTCATCTGTAAATAATCTCCAGTAAGTCGTACGAAACATGTTTTTCAGATTTTTGATATTTTCTTCTGAGAAGTTCTTGTATTTGACTTTTGTCGTCTGATGTAAGAGTGAAATCTTTCCAAGCTTGCAATATACTTTAGATAGAACATGAATTATACAATGATCAGAACTAGACAATGGAGAACGTTTGCGAGTCACATATGTTCCCACATCAGTAATGAAAACCTAGTCTACATGGGCATCCAAACAAGTGGAAAAATCTATTAAATTTTGGTGACCTGGTGATGAAAGCTACAATCACATAAATTGAAATCACATACGATGCAAAGTGAACCACTGAAGGTAGTAACAGAAAATTCAGTGAATTCCTTAACGAGAAACAGATAACCCGGATGATGCGCAGTCTGAAGTCACGTGGATGTTGATAACAATTGTATTTAATCAAGTTTTAGACATCTTAAAGTGTAGCATACAAAAGTAGATCAACACCAGTTTACGTTTACAAATCTAGCTGTTAATCAATCACTCAGTATTGGTATTTGTTCACTATTAGATCGACCAAATTATAATTATTGAAATGTATTAGCCAATCGCTGAAAAAATCTGTGTATGAAGCTCTATTTCTTTCATAAAATATAAATCTTTGCAGTTATAGGTTAGACTTTGTATTCCAATTAGTTGAAGGCGAAGTCAAAAGTATTGAGACCATAGTGTTGAAAAGTAGTTGCGATTACCCTTATGTTTACTGTTATGTTGGTATTTCGGATTGTGTAGCAAAGAGAGGGTAATAACACATATCCAAAACAGGATTTCAGAGCTGTGACAGGAACAAGTATGAGATAATTAAAAGCTTCAGTTAAAGGAGTCAACTTTAGGCTTATAGACAGACTGAAGTTGGGTATGAAAAAGGAGTCATCTGTCGTTCATCTTTCATAATAGTCAGAGTTAAAGAAAGCTCCTAAATTTAATTATCGTGTCATATAGAAGGATGTAACAGATAAGGCACAACTTTGTCCCATTGTATCTTTGATCTCATACATGTCACTATTAACCATAACTGACTGTCGTTATAAAATAATTCATAGTGCATGTAATTAATATCAACTTGGAGCACCAAATGATTGTATTGAAAAGTGTCAGGTTCAGGGAGAACGAAACTAATCTCGATAATTAACTACGAACATCTCGAAAAAGACACTTCATTTGAGAAATATTAAGAACATTTTACAAAAATGCATAAAACGAACGTATCTGTAGATATTAAGGGGCAAAGCATTAACCTTAGTCATTGCATACAGATAAACATACCACATTGGTTTACGAACTTCTGTAATTTGTGCAACAGTTTTAGCGGTTTTCATTTTCATTTCAGCATTGTGTACGGCTGATTTCAAAACCTGTTAAAGACAGTTTAGATAAAGATACTTTACATCTATTAAAATAAGAAGTTATAATTGACTAATGGGTTGATTTTGGTACAGCGATCGTACAGAGTAATACTTCGTAAACAAATTACAATTAACTCTTTAGTCTGTTGTACATACAGTCAGATGAATATCTGATTTTTTTTAAAACATATTGATATGAATAGCTATTTCACCATATAATTAGAATGTATTTCTTTTTCAAGCTGCATTCAAATCTGAGGCAAATTAGATTCCATCTGGTCTAATTCTTATATTTACGCCAATGCAAATGGTTTGAGATATTAAAGTATATTTACCTAGAAATTCACGGTAAAACTGATGCCAAGCACAGTAACTAATGAATAAAATGTCAACGAATAATAAATATGGAAAAGATGACGAAATCAAAGTGAACTCAACTAATTAAATGAAGCCATTGTTTGGAATCATCATCAAAACTATTTGTTTTGAAGATTTGTATTAGGTTTTGAGCTACATTATACGCGTGAAAGCTAATAACAATACGAAGTTGCTAAAAGCAGAGTATTTTAAATTAACGACCTAATGGTGATAAGCAAAGTACTTTAAAGACAAAGCCACAATGGCTAGTACCTTTACTATGATTGTGAGTAGTACCATTTATTTAATTACAAAATGGTCGGAAACTTGGCATAAATATAAATCAATCTCAGTTGCTATATTTCAAAAGATCATAAGGAGAGGATATTAATAGATTGAAAAGCAATAAAAACCGAATAATACTGATAGTAGCGGAAAATAAGTACAAGGAATACAGTTCACAAGTCAATAGAGAAAATAAGGAAATAAAGATAGAAAAGTACTAATCTAAAGATGTATAAGAGAATAAAAAATGAATACATCTGTGACATTAAGTCTGGTTATAATGCATACCCCAGCTACAGTTTAAAGTAATAGATTGCAAGACTATTATCAGTTGTTTACTAAATATCCCCCTTCATTCCTTAAAACCACTACTAAGGCTATGAAACTGAAAAGAAATATTTTTTCTCGACAACTACACATGATAACTAACGCAAGGCATTATATCATTATACTCCTAGATTTAGTTCACAGTTAACGTTGCACACTCGTGAACGATAAGATTAAAGGAGAAAACAATGGTAAAATTTTATTACTTTGCGCGAAACGCTGATAGTTTTTTCTTCTTTTTTACTAGCAGCTCGTTTCTTATCATAATATCTGGAAAAGGAAGAAACGTGGAAAGTATAAAAAAAAATTGTGATAACATTCACTAATAAACGTATGAAAAATAGTAATATGTATGTTAAGTAACTTTATGAACTGATACTATGTACTTATTTGACTACTTTTTGCCTTCTTTCATCATTCCCCTACGTTAGTAACCACTGTTAATATTAAAAAGCCACAACTGAGCATGCGAAACTGTCCCACTAAATAACACTTTTGGAAAGTATAGGAAATGAACACTGTGTTTCACTACTTGTTTCAGATTAGGAGAGAAACTGCCTAATCATCAAAGAACTAGTTAACTTACTTTCGTGCATTGGTTAGAGCATTGACGTCTATATCTACAACTACTTCTGTATATTCATGTTTCTTGCCTGATTTCATTAAGGTTTCGTTAACATCGCTTGAACTTTCAAAAGGATCTCTGAAATAAATGAGATGAAATTTTTTGAGTATGAAAAGTTAGATACAAACAATCGATAGGAACAAAATGCAATAATAAACTACTTTAAACGTATGACAGCCTGACTTGTTTGTAATTTTAACTCGACAATATGACAGGCAAGTGGATCATCACGTTGTTTTGCGTCTTCAACGATTAATGCTAATTCTTTCCAGTCTATTTGATTTGATAATGCATGATTGATCATGATAATAATATTGTCAACCTGAAGATAGAAATGAAATACAACTGCACTCAAAATCGGCATTACAATTATTTTAGAAATTGAAGTGATATACAGCTAATTAGTTTTGCTTTGAATTTACTTAGTATTGTGTGAATTTTCATGTATAATGCAGAACCAACTTAAGTAGGCGGAAAACAATTCCTACTATGTTATGTTGTGAGTAGGATGTACAAAACTTTGACATGAAGCTGTAGCCTGTAGTATTTAAACCAAACTAAATGAGAAAAACACGTTGATTACGCTGGAAGACTGACACCATAAATCCTTCAAAGTTGAAAAAATTTAAACTACTGTTCAGTACCTCTGTGGTCCTATGGGAAAGTCCTGGTGATAAGATCAGAGGCTTCACACTTGGTATAGGAGTTTATTGAGGATGGTACAATACTCAGAAGCTTTGAAACGTAGGTAGAAAAGTAGTTAATATCTTCTTAATTATAACAGATGATTAATTAATGAATACAGACTTAAAATTAACGAGTTTTAAAAAGTTAGCAAGCTGAATATGAACCAGGTATTTGTTGCTTCGCTTGCTAATCAAACAATAATATTATTTTCTAAAATAGAGATGAGCTTTAAAAGCAAAAGAAGAAACTTACAAGCCGACGATTAGCTTCAAGCAGGTAAGCCTTTTGCATATCTAACTCCTGAATAAGAAAGAAAAACGGGATACGAGATAAAGGTTATTAAAGGATCAGGTTATAGTGAACAATTCAAGCAGACTGGACACAGTAAGGTTGTCATATGAAACTCAAAGTGGCAGCTGGTAATGAGACGACTAGAATAACCTCTTACCATATATGTATGGTATAGTCATGCCGAACAACCGTAGAAATAAAAGTTTTGTAGTTACAGTAAACCATGTTAGTTTCATAATTCATCGTAGTCGGAATTAACATCACCAGAGTTTATGACGAACGATTGGTATACAGACGGGGTCCTTTAACTAGAGAATAATCTCACATACCTTTTAATGCCTTTTATCCATTAAACTATTAAGTATGCGGAATAAAGAGACTAAACAAAGAATAACTTAAGGCAATTAATGAGAATCGTCAAAGAATATCTACCTGGATTTTAGGAAAATGAATGACACAGCAACTAAAAGTGGTGAGTTAGGTCAGAGAAACTCCCTAATTTATATAAGCCAAAAAAGAAAAATGAAAAGGATCTCCTTCAGATTTTTGCACTAACAGTTGCATCAGAATTCAATTTGCAACGGTGAAAAACAAAACACTAATACATTTGTAAGCATTGAAATTGTAACCAGATGAAGAAAACCTTTTTGTTCTGGGAACATATCGATGGTCAGGATTGCTTGATAAATCCATGAAATAATAATAATAATGACAATAATCATTATAATAATTATTATTATATCATCCGTAATGTTTTTTATGTAAATGGCTTATCCACAATAGTATATTTCTGAAGGCGAGTTAACGAATCATTATACGGAGGGAATTACTGATTTTTTATGGAAAATCAATCCATCCTACTACAACTTACAAATTTCAACCCAGTATGGATATCAAACTACAGTGAAAGTACTGATAAACCTGTAGTCTATTAGTCTCATAATTTAAATTTCAACTTACTTGTTCAGTTTTTAGTAACATTAAACGCCGTTCCTGATCTTTTTTAATATTTTCAACTTTTCTACTAGCCTTTTGTTCCTAAAAATAAAAAGGCTAGCAGTTAGGCAGCGGAAGTAATGCATTACAAGCAATAATGGGTCAATTAATAGAAAACAGAATATTTTTGTGGAGATATACACCAAATATTGAAGAAGTGTAAGGAAATGTTGTCGAATATAATTTGTTCTTTGGACAATATTTTGGAATTACGTTCTACTTCCTACTTTCATGTCCGAAAAGAAAATGAAATAAATTAATTAGTGCTAGATCACACAGTGCCTATATATATATATATATATATATATATATATATATATATATCATTTGCTTATCATTCATGAGTTGTCCTTTGTATACTCCATCATTCTTCCAATCCTGTTGTTATTCCGATTGCTCTCTTGTTTTCCTTCCTCTTCTCTTTATTTCATCCTTCTGCTGGTAAGCCTTCCATTTTCAATTCCAGTTACCTGCTACTCATATCTGTTCATGTTAGTAGCGCACACCACAATATTAGTATCACATACATATATTTGCCAGATATACCTTTCTGGTAGGTCCCAACAAATTCGACACATCAGTCCAGGATACCTTGCTGATTGTATCTACCTATCTATCATTATAGGATTTTTATAAAATTGAGAGGAAGAAGAGCGAATGTTCGGCGCTTTAACCGGGTTGGTGGATACGGAGGATCCACTTAGGGGAGTTGGAAAACCCTGATTTCAAACCAATGGTGCACATGGGTTCCATTATCCTTAAGGGAAAAACGGCGTACGAACCAGTTGTTGGTCACCAGCTCCATGGGACTGCATCTCCTAACGTTGCTCCACATCCTTGCGGACTAGACCTATAAATCAAAGGCTCGGGAGTGGCCTCTAAGAAAACCATCTGCTTCGGTTTCGGCACCCGGGCAATATTCCAGCCCTCACAAAAATCAAATGATTTGTGTGGCGCATATATATATGGTGATTCGTACCAATGTTTATGTGTTCAAATAAACAAATAACCCATGGTATAAGATATAAAACTTGTTTATACTGTAGGCCCGGATGAGAGTCAAAGAAATAATGGAGACAAGATCACGGTATATATATATATATATATATATATATATATATATATAGAGAGAGAGAGAGAGAGAGGAGTGAAAATGAAGAACTCCGTGAAGCAAAATAAAAACTTACATTTCGTGAAATTTGTTCTAATGTTTTTTGACTTTCAATTTTTGAAAAGTATGCGTCCACTGCCTATGCAAATTTTTAGTAACAAGCAGAAAATAAAACTATCAGCTTTTAGTTTCTCATACATTTAAATGTTGTAATGAATGCATTGTACGCATCATTTATATAAACAAGAACTAAACTTATTGGCTTATATGTGGATCATAAGCAATGTCGAACCTGATATACACGTGGATTAGTTTAAGTTGCTTGTGTGTAGCTGAGAACAAAGCAGAGAGATATAATGAATTCATCGTACCTTTCAAACATTGTTATTTGCGCTTTAAATTTACAAGGCATTTAGATAATAATACTTCCTACACAAACAAACCTAACAGACATATTATACATCCTTGATGATGATCAGATATATTGTCACACAACAAAATGAACACAAGACAATTCATTGAAGTGAAAAATTCACATTAGGAATTCTCAGCTCACCTTATTGAAACTATCAAATACTAAGTGAGGTTTATCTCGATATTGTTCGAATATGAATGGGTGAAATTCTTCATAACTGAAATAAATAAAAGATCTTTGAACAAATAAAGAAAAGCTTTACTGAATGACATTATTATCATCAAATGGATACATGAGACCGAGTCTATTTTGGTACCACTTAAAAACCGAGTACAGATCCACGTAGTAGGTTGTTACTTAGATACCCCAACAAAAGTGAAGGAACATGAACTTGTTGTGTCTATTAAATGTTTGACTGACCCCCAAATCCATAGACATTTAGTGAGAGAACAAAGCGTGGTAATAAGGATTTATTTGACCCCCGGGATAAATCACAAAGATATATGAATAAACTACTCTTTATATGATTTATTTAGTCAGATTAACAATCAGATCTGTATAATTTGACTGAGTAGTACTTAACATCAATTATTCAATAACTTACTATGAGGGCACATATTTGTAATATTATACTGATCGATTTCCACATGGACTTGATTTTACTCGTTTGGTCTTGTCATAAAACAAATAGGTTTAACTGAAAGTGTTGGAATGGAAATCAATTATTTCCCCTTCGTAAGTAGTATGTAAACTCCAAACGGTGTTTGAATTTTGGTGGTTGGCATCCTCTTGTAACTGCGCTCATCCGATTGTCATAACTGAAAGTTAAAGCTGGACGTCTACAATCTGTCACCAATCCTTAAGATACTTTATTACCAATATGACCATATGAGTTGACAGTAACAAAACATTTAGCGCTGACAATGTGACCATTCAATTAATAAACACCTTTGAATAGTACACAGAGGGTCCTTGTAATGTGGTCATAAATAGTATGAATACTTGTAAACTGATCATTAATAAAATGAACACTGTTAGCACAATCACTAGTAACATGAGTACTTGTTACATTAGCACTAACATAATGAATATTTGACTGACCAAGCTCCCGATGAGGTTTACACTAAACGAATGTGACATCAAAAATAGTTTCCAATTGCCATTTAATAATTTGATCCCATATGAAGTAAAGCGAGATTATAAACCCGAGGTTAGGGTTACTGAAAGTCAATTCCCGGACGGGTTACCAGTATATGAAACTGCTGACAGTAGTGGCCTACCTGGGTAGTTGGTGCCGACATAAGAAGTTAGTAACATGGCTTACCAAAAAAATGTCTGACACAACACATGAATCATATGCGGTCTAGAAAGCTTACACCAATTAAGAAATACCCTAGGCCCAAACATTGGACTATCTTGTTGATACGGTCTATCGGGAACAACCAAGCCGAAGCATCAGAAACAATAACCGGACCTAGAAAATACCATAAAGAGTCTCCATCCCTAATACCTTCAGTTGAGTCAGAGAAGTCGGATCGATTTTCAGGAAAGGAACGTAAGATGAAAGCATCAACACAGAAAAGTCAAGTTCATGTGGAAATCGATCAGTATAATATTACAAATATGTGCCCTCATAGTAAGTTATTGAATAATTGATGTTAAGTACTACTCAGTCAAATTATACAGATCTGATTGTTAATCTGACTAAATAAATCATATAAAGAGTAGTTTATTCATATATCTTTGTGATTTATCCCGGGGGTCAAATAAATCCTTATTACCACTCTTTGTTCACAATATTCTAGATATAACAAGCACATTATTGACACCTTATCTTATATAACTTCCATAGGGCTAGTTATATAGGCCGTACTTAAAAAGCCTTATCCTTGCACGTTCATGTGTCTACATACTAGTGTAAGCAAGAAGGGTATAACACTCAGTGGTCCATTCAGTATTACTCTATGAGAGTGGAAAGGGCTGTGAAAGTAGATGTGCACAGGATGTACTTTTTTACCACAGTTTTCTTTAAAGTATTTGTCAGAACGACTGAATGAGAAATGATCTAGGTAGATAAAGAGTAATTAGGAAAGATTGCAAATTGGTCAACGAGGCTGCGAGTCAGAATTCGCTAAGGTGGTTAGGATATATATGTTACACAAGCTCAACTACCGCCCATCTCATGTGCACAAATAGCTGCAGTAGTAGTAAGTCAGAAGATGTACTTCACATACAAACAGTCAAAAATCTTCTTAGTATTATTCACAACCAAAATTCATACGAGATTAGAGCTCTTTGAAAAAATCAAACAACAACCCTTTTGGACATGATGATAACAAAGAAAAGAATCTGCTCTAGACATACGAATATTCGAAAATAGAGCCCCAAGAAGACCCGATAAACACTAGTTGGTTATGTAGTATTAGTACGCAACGAATAACTAAAAACCTCCTTCAAAACATCTTACGTTCGCAAACCTTCGTCCGAAGATTGATAGGATTTCCCAAATATATAACCATGTGGAGTCGTTTGACGGTCACATAAGAATGGTTCTAGTAAAATATCTCTCAAAGCCACAGCGAAGTGTTTGACATACAACTCCATCAAGTCCTCTTTTTCGGATTGTAGCTGGAAATCTTCTTTATGATGCTTCATCTGTTTAACTTTGTTTTCGGCTATACGCATGCAGTGTTCTATGATGACGCTGCCATAAGCTAAATCCGGAGATGAATAAATTGGCATTTACTTACGTAATTCCAAAGATAACCTTTTGTTTATGGAAGGGTCGTCACATGTTTTTGTATTGGAAGTCCAAGGTCCCTTAGATGATTGGAATAATGGAGTGAGGAAATTCTCAATATCCTTTAAAGATTTTTGGTCTTTTAATTCGCGAAAACATTCCAGGATCTGACGACAGGAAGTTATAGGATACTTCTCGTGGGCTGCAAATCGAATATTCTGATTTTTATCAGTTCGGGGACGCAGCAAGTGAAGGATCGTAAATGATTCATCAGTAAGAAGCATATTCCCCTATAAAGTTACGAAGTATTTCATGAGAATAATTGGGAGATAAACTTTACAGAAAACGACCGGGTGAGTGGTGGAAAATTGCAAAACTAAAGTTTTTAAGATATTCAGCATGAAACCAGAATAATATGGGCGAATACGTATATGTAATGAAATCCGGTGTGTTTCAGTAAACGGACTAGATCAATGTTACGGAGGGGAGCTTTATAGTTTGATGAGACGAATCTTCAACTGTTGAAATGAAAAAACAAAATGCAATGATACGGTATGGTCGAGTGATGGCTGTTCATGAGATCGTATTATTCGGGCAATCCTCCAAATGCTTTAATTTGAAATACAAGATCACCAACTAGAATAATGAGCTTACAGGTAATAAAATGACGTGCTTATATATAAGACATTGAGAACAAACGGCATAAGGGCGAACGATCGTTTTCGATAAGTTCTGCATCAGGCTTTGGAGTCGAAGATCTAGAATTATTATTGTGTCACAATAGATAGTATTAAAGTTGAATTAATTGATGTTATAAGTCGGGAATGGCAAACTTCGAGTCGATTGAGCTTTAACTGCTACAAAACATTAAAGCGAAATAGGAATGATACATCAGGCGATTGAAGTTAGTTTGTGTACCATTAACTCTCGAATCAATTAAGGAATGATAGTTAAGTTTAATTCTTGGGCACTATTAATTACAGGTCCAGTCGAATGGAGGCAACATAGAACCTGGCACGTTCACGTTGATTCAAGTTACCATACCCCTATTAGCATGATGAGATGAAATAATCAAGATGAATTCAAGAGTAGTAGAGGTGGTAACAGTATTGGTGGTAATACGAGACAATAGACAAGATACAGAGGTAGGGCCTTTGAGAGCACAAGGCTAACACATTACCAACTTATTGCAGAAAGGTCATACGTCACGAGCCTTAAGCTTGTATCTTCTAGGTGCTTCAGACACATTTTCAGATAGTTACGAACACTACCAATCCAGTTTCCTTTTTAGGTCCGCTGAGAAGAAATATCCTCTCGTGTTGTGAGGAGCCAGGAATTGATAGCAGCTCTACTGTCCGACAGAACTCGACATCCGCTTGTTTACGATAAAATCTCTTCGTCACTTCTGAGCAACAGTTTCAAATTAATGGCTAGGTCGACAAATGACCCATTGGTGCATTATCGACAGTTTGAATAACTTACCAAGGTGTTAGTCAGTCAGTGATACAAATACCATCCAAACAGTGACTATAAAGAAAACGTTTGTTCGGAAAACTACATTACAAGCATTTAGAAAAAGACTAAGGTTTAAATACATATTCTTCTATAGCTTGACGGACTATTGAATAGTTTTGGATGGAATACTATCATGATTGAGACAACCTTACTAACGAATTTAGGAAAGGTTGTTAAGATTTATGAGATACTTGAGTAAACGATTTGAGTTACCAGTACAATAATTTCGTGTAACTCATTAGCAGCCAACGTGACCTTTAATGGTCAATGTCCATTGGCGCATAATCGGATCAGAAGAAAGCTATGTTCAATCAAATTAAGTTGCAGCAACAGTCCATGCAGTTATTAAATATTAGTCGAAAAGAATCAAGAGGTGCAGACTACTAGTTGAGATCTTGAGGGACAATCAAGACCTTTGATTGAAGGTAATTCGTGACATCGTTTAAAATCACTTGCGAAGGAGCAGACGAAACAAACCTTGGTAAAATTTTCCAATTTCTAGCTTTAATATTACTTAAGTCTATATTCTTCTTTCTCTTGGAGACATATTTTTCGAAGACTGGTTGATTTTTACAACGACACTACTATTGTTTTAATTTTTTCAATGTATTATTCCGTTTCCTCTTTTTATACTGACTAAGTGTGGGAGCTTATGCCGTTGAACTGTGTCAAATTCTATAGAGGTCATCAATAAAACAAGTTATTGAGTGCTATTACAGAATTGGTCTGGGTGTTAAGATCCACGTCCATTCCCATCAAATCAGTTAACAAACTTAAATCGTGTAAGATGTGGGGTTGCTGTATGAATTCATGTATACTGCATCATGACGGATCATAATATACTTCAGGAAATTGACTCTAACAAAAAACGTGGAATGTCAATGCTACACGATCACCTACGGTTAGACTTAGTACAATTCAAATAGCTATGAGAATGTCTGGGAAATAAGAAGTTTTACGTATTTGTTGATTTTGTATCAAAAACTTAAACTGACCGTATTGTCAGTAAACAAGTGTGAAGTGATGTCACAAGGATACTTGCGAGGAAGCCTATACTCAAACTACACTTACCCGATCGTACAACTCCACAATCAAATGATAAGCAGACGACTCATAACCAATCTGGATATCAACAACGCGATCGGCTCCGACTTGGGAGATATCAACGATCTTCTTGTTTCGTATGTGTTTACGCAGCTGTAATTAGAAGCATTTAAGATAAGAATAATTAAAGACCATTCAATTCATACAACTGATTTTTACACAGGATATGCATTAATGTTAATAAGTGAGTTAATTAACACACCTTCATGGAAAATCCTGACGGCATGATATTTTTAGGCCAGTCAAAATCAGTAATATGTAAGCGTGAGCCAGATTCTAAAAGCAATATCGCCTTGTCGTCAGACTTCGTGCTGAAGGAAAAACATAACTTAAAAATGAATAATTACCTAGCAAGTTTTAAAAGATATGTTTTATTGTCCACATCGTATATATTATTGACCCTATAACCCAGTATTCTTAACCATGAGATTTTTTATTCTGAATAAACTTACTGATTTTTTATTTCTGAAACAGATACCATTACGTCAAATGTCGTGTACAAAAGCTTCATTCTCGCACATATGTAACGCAACAATTCCTTTATGTCAACGTTTATTCACATTTGTCCTTGAACAGATGGTTCAAATGGTTCAAATGGTTGTGGACGGAATAGAAGAAGCTTTCGCTTAACAGGCTTCCGTGTCTAGTAGCAGGGTATCACCAAATCCTCCAGGCAGGAACCTAGGTATGTTAACAATAAAAGAGGAAAGAGAAATTGGTAAATCATAGTATGACACTATCCTTAATCCCTAAGAATAAATCCACTTGCCTCTTAAAGGAATCCTGGGAAGTCGCTTGTACTAGCTCAGCCGTCAAACAATTCCAGCCTTTGACAACTTCCAAGGAGTAAGAGTTGTGTCTTCAGTCCGTTCTGCTGTGTTGTCTCCAATTTATGGGTGTTGCCCCTTAGGTTGGTATTGGGACTAAACTTAAGCAGGTGTTTGAGGGGATGTCCAGAAGTGTTAAGAATACTATAAGCCATTGGTAAATCACCTCTAAGACGCCTATATTCTAGTGGGTAAAGGTCTAGTGAATGGAGGCGTTCTTCGTAAGGCTTAGATTTGAGTCCTCGAACTGATTTCGTGGCTCGCCGTTGGATACGCTCCAAAGTGACCTTGTCCTTATGGAGTGTGGGGGGGAGTACTATGTTTCCGTACTCTAAATGGGGACGGATGAAACTATTGAAGATTGTATGGAAAGTTCGTCCGTCAAACTGTCCAAAAATGCGCCTCAACGTTACCAGTGCAAGGTTTGCTCGGAAGGCATTTTTGTCACAGTTAGCGTAAGACTTTAAGTCATGGGGCATCAGTACTCCTAAATCTTTTTCGACTTGGGATACTACTAGAGAGGAGTTTCCTAAGTTGTAACTGTAGTTTGCGACATGTCGCAGATGGAGTACTTTACACTTTGAAGTGTTAAAGGTAAGTCCGTTATCGTCTGCCCAACTTTGAAGTCGCGTCAGATCCTCCTGAAGTGCCTGTGTATCGTCTTGGTTGCGTATCTCTCTCCAAAGTTTCACGTCGTCGGCAAAAAGTAGTAAGTCTGACGTTACCTGTTGAGGAAGATCGTTTATGTAGATCAAGAAGAGAAGAGGCCCTAGTACTGAGCCCTGGGGGACCCCACTAGGACATTCCATAGCCTGAGATAAAGTGAAATTAACCCTAACCTTAAAGTGTCGATTTTTTAGGTATGAAGTAAGCCAATCGATTAGGGGTGGTTTGATACCTAGTCGTTTGAGCTTGTTGATAAGACACAAGTGGTTAACCTTATCAAAAGCTTTTGAGAAATCAAGGTAAATGACGTCAACCTTTCCCTTGCAATCGAGGATGCTTGTCCATTTGTCGACCGCAGTCAGCAGGTTGGTTATACAAGAGTAACCCTTCCTGAAACCATGCTGTTGGGGTGAGAAGAAATTTAAGGACAGTAGATAGTCATTTAAACCGTCGCATATCAGGGACTCCATGAGTTTTGAAGGTAATGACAGAAGAGCCACCGGCCCATAACTTGAAGGTTCATTGCGTCGACCACCTTTGAAAATTGGTGTGATGTGAGCCAACTTCCAGTTTTCCGGTAATTTACCTCGGCTAAGCGAGTGTGAAAACATCACGCTAAGCGGCGTTGCCAGGATTGAGGCTGCCTCCCTCAGTATGGCAGGATGAACCATATCCGATATTCAGATATTCAGAGTCAAATTTGTGTAGTAGGGACAGCAGACCTACGATCCATGTTGGTCTTTTCTAGCACGTTTCTGTGAGAGTTTGCCCTTCTCTCGAATGAATAAAATGAAAGTGCGGACACCAATGAGTCGGATATCTTAGCGTGACACAGCTACCAAAATTTGATGGCTCTGTGTGAAGACCTGTGTGCCATGTATATTTTGTCCGTTCATGACCTTTTCTTGTATTTTTACGAGATAATGATTCCTTTGTACTTGATTACAACTTGATTACGAATACGATACGATCATTCCTCCTGAATATAATTTGCTAGCTCATGGCTTTTCTACTCACCTGCTATATACTCTGAGTTGTCCAGATTTGAAAAGAAGGAATTGAGAGGATATATCAATTCCAAAATCACCTCTTATGAATTCATAGGTCAAAATTAGATCATCACTCAATCTTTGGTAGAACAGATGAAATAGGTCTAACTATTCAAACCGCTCGTTGTATGGCAAACCCCGGAGTTCTGGAACTGCACAGGTTGCTGCTCTCTGTACTTTTTCCAGAATATCCAGGTCACCTTTCAAACAGTGAATTGCACCCTAAACGCAGTCTTCAGGTTTTGTTCTCACTAAGGTTGTGCATACGTTATTATCTAACTTGGTAAATGTCCGTCTTGAAGCATGTACGGTTCTCAGCCCTATAGCTGCAACCTCATGGTAGTTGATTATGGTCTTAAGACTATGACTCACTGTCTGCACAAGGTCGTTGTGAAACCGAACCATGGGTACAGACTTTTTCCCTATGTGGTACTTAGTTACATTCGTATCCCCAATGTGCATGCAGACTCACTGGGCTGCGTTGATAGGTACCAGCCACTTTATTTAGACCAGCTAACCACAAAATTTAATTCTGCCTCAAGTGCACATGCACCTGTGTCTCGATTTTATTTCTCGCCAAATGTTTACATCATCAGCGTTTCAGGAAACAATTTCCTACAGGTGTAATTCCAAGCTATACTCCCGACTGTCAATCACAGAGTCTTGGTTTAGCCAAAGTCAAGACAAGTAAGCAAAATGGCTTGACAAAATTTATTTGCTCCTAAAACATAAATAAATACCGTAAGTATCCAAAATAAACAGTACAGTTCATCAAACATAATTTACATATCGAACAGTAACTAGAGGTTAGTAAAGATGCCACAGGTATTTGGAGTTTGACAGCGCTCTAACCAGTAACACCTGTGAATCAAACACACCAAGTGAAATCAAAAGGCAGAAGCGAAGAGGTTCGAAGATGTATTTGATAGGCCATCAATATATCGAAGAGTGACTGGTCCAGGCTGGCTAGCATTTGCAGGGGATGTTGAGCATGGCGTTCCCACTCGTAATCTGCAATTATACGCAACTCAATTTCGTAAATGTGCTCTTCAGCTTAGCAACCAATCAGAATGAGGCGGGAATTATTACATCCGCCATCTTTGTAGGCAATTGCGGTCGGCTTTCTTCGTTCTGTGCTTCTTTCAGCTATTTCTTTTGTGAAGCTATGTAATCTAATGTCTCAGTGTGCTAAAATGCCGCAGTTAGTGTAATGTTCTATATGTTGGTGTGAAGCTTATTTCGAATCAGCGATGTTTTCTGGGTTTTTGCTGCTTCTACTCAAGTCAATGTATTTCTTCAGGCAATGTGGCTAGTCTTGTGTTATAAAATATCGGCTGGCTTTCTTCGTTCTGTGTTTTTTCCGCTATTTCTTTTGTGTAGCTACAGAATTTAATGTTTCAGTGTGCTAAAATCCAAAAGTTAGTGTAATACTCTAAACGTTGGAGCAAAATTTTTCCTGATTTCGCTTTGTTTTCTGGGTTTTACCTGCTGCTAATGAAGTCACTGTATTTATTCAGCTAAGCTGGCTAGTACTAACATAAGACCTTACGTTTTTAAACGACAATCGGTTATGTTTTACCTTGTTTTCAAGATATCCAAAGCCGAAGTTCGTTTTTTTCTCTAAAATAATTGTTGCTGCCGCCTGTGACTCTAACTGTTCGCATGTTCGTTCCTAACTGTCCTTTATGATGTTATCGGCAAAATGAAAGGAAACAATCTGCGTTTTTTTAACACTATCCCACCAATGAGTCAAACGAATACAGAGTGCCCAGCAGTAGGGTATATCGGTATTTATTTCGAAAGGATTCAGACTTCCGACAACTATAGATGAAGTCACAGATGCTACCAATCTACTGCAGAGGGTCTGTTATGAAAAATATGCCATATAGCAGTAATAGAGGGGTTGTACTCATTACTCAGTGCGTTAAAGCAAGCTAAACATTGAAAAGCCGAAAATCTGCTACCAGTGTCTAGTGTATGTTTGCTGTTTTGGCCATAAAAAGAAATTGAAGGGTCATGATCAGGGAGTAAAAAGGTAATTAACCGTTATTAAGCTCACTTTTTATAGATCATATTTCACCACTCGCAAATATGCGTTTTCTTACGGTATGATGTCAACTGGTACCTAATATGTCCACCCTTACGATGAAAAGTACCTGCAAATTTTCACCTTCATATTCGAATTACTTTTGCACAACTGTCTTACAGTCCGAGTGCTTCGTACGCCCCAAGAAACTCTATTTATACAGCATTCGTAGTTCCAGTATAACTTACGCAGTAAATTCAAATAAGACACTAATCTTTCTAAAGAAGCCTGTTAAGCTGATATCCGTATTCTCTATTTCAGTTAATCAATGAAGACATGTACCACGTGCATCTGCTGTATACTGCCATTTTACTCCAATTCTAACTGTTATATCTTACTTTTGAATAATAAAATAGCTATATGCAGCAAATACAGACTTATTTGTTTTGATGGAGGTAGAGGGGTTGATGGGATTTTCAGCAGGACCGTATTAATATTCTCACTAAAGAGCTAAGCGAGTGCGTAAACCAGTGCAAGGTACCATACGGGGTGCATTTGAGTTACTAGTGTTCCATTAGTGCGGGTAGGGGCATTGCTTGCTTGTCATATGGCATTTGAATTAGAAGCTATAAGATAAGACGCAGGTGCGGCTAGGATGTGTAACGCGTGTCCATCCATCAGCTGCCGTGACAACTCATGGTGGTTAGAACAAGCTATGAGAGGACCCGAGTCTGTAGGTCTCCCAAGAAAATGACGAAGATATGCACCAAATCACCTTATGAAGAGCGCCTCCAATCACTTAACCTCTACTCATTAGAGTATAGACGTCTTAGAGATGACCTAATGGCTTACAACAACCTTAACACTTCTGGACATCCCCTAAAACACCTGCTTAAGTTTAGTCCCAATACCAACCTAAGGGGCAACACCCATAAATTGGAGACAACACAGCAGAACGGACTGAAGACACAACTCTTACTCCTTGGAAGTTGTCAAAGGCTGGAATTGTTTGACGGCTGAGCTAGTACAAGCGACTTCCCAGGATTCCTTTAAGAGGCAAGTGGATTTATTCTTAGGGATTAAGGATAGTGTCATACTATGATTTACCAATTTCTCTTTCCTCTTTTATTGTTAACATACCTAGGTTCCTGCCTGGAGGATTTGGTGATACCCTGCTACTAGACACGGAAGCCTGTTAAGCGAAAGCTTCTTCTATTCCGTCCACAACCATTTGAACCATTTGAACCATCTGTTCAAGGACAAATGTGAATAAACGTTGACATAAAGGAATTGTTGCGTTACATATGTGCGAGAATGAAGCTTTTGTACACGACATTTGACGTAATGGTATCTGTTTCAGAAATAAAAAATCAGTAAGTTTATTCAGAATAAAAAATCTCATGGTTAAGAATACTGGGTTATAGGGTCAATAATATATACGATGTGGACAATAAAACATATCTTTTAAAACTTGCTAGGTAATTATTCATTTTTAAGTTATGTTTTTCCTTCAGCACGAAGTCTGACGACAAGGCGATATTGCTTTTAGAATCTGGCTCACGCTTACATATTACTGATTTTGACTGGCCTAAAAATATCATGCCGTCAGGATTTTCCATGAAGGTGTGTTAATTAACTCACTTATTAACATTAATGCATATCCTGTGTAAAAATCAGTTGTATGAATTGAATGGTCTTTAATTATTCTTATCTTAAATGCTTCTAATTACAGCTGCGTAAACACATACGAAACAAGAAGATCGTTGATATCTCCCAAGTCGGAGCCGATCGCGTTGTTGATATCCAGATTGGTTATGAGTCGTCTGCTTATCATTTGATTGTGGAGTTGTACGATCGGGTAAGTGTAGTTTGAGTATAGGCTTCCTCGCAAGTATCCTTGTGACATCACTTCACACTTGTTTACTGACAATACGGTCAGTTTAAGTTTTTGATACAAAATCAACAAATACGTAAAACTTCTTATTTCCCAGACATTCTCATAGCTATTTGAATTGTACTAAGTCTAACCGTAGGTGATCGTGTAGCATTGACATTCCACGTTTTTTGTTAGAGTCAATTTCCTGAAGTATATTATGATCCGTCATGATGCAGTATACATGAATTCATACAGCAACCCCACATCTTACACGATTTAAGTTTGTTAACTGATTTGATGGGAATGGACGTGGATCTTAATACCCAGACCAATTCTGTAATAGCACTCAATAACTTGTTTTATTGATGGCCTCACTATGACTTGAGATATCATCCCAGCTTGCGATGGACGTACAGTGTAACGCAGTCGGACGTGGCGAATAAAAATTAAAAACAGAGTAAAATTAATTACATAATCTAGTTATTTAATTAAAAATACATTGTGAAATGACAAAATCTGTGGTTACTTGAACGCACAGATGACCCTGTGCGATACATTAAGTTTACATGGTTGCGCTGCGGGTAAGTTCACCCGGTGCGGATGCATGACCGAGCGCCTTCAGCTATGTGAGCCCATTAAAACTAATGTGGTCAGCATCCAACGTCGAAGACTTACAGAGCCATTGATTTTAAGGATTTATTTACCGCTATAGAACGATCCTTCCTAATGTGGTGGTTATGACCCCAAGATGTGGCCAGCCACAAGTTCAAACCCGACGAGTTTGTCTTTAACAAACACTCTTCTGATAGCTTGCTATGCGCAGCAGCGTGTTGTTGAGAAAGTTTGTGCAACGTATCGAAGGCGTTGAGTCGATAATATTTCAGCACGATTGGGCGATCCCTACCTGTAGATGTGTCACATAGTAAGGTTTTCTTACCCGTTCCCATCTGTTTGATGCGTAGTTTAAGGGTTGTAGGCGATAACTCATGCTGAAGATCAGTGTCTTCTTTTTGAAGCTCGGCGAGTTTAGAAAGATCGATTCCTTGGAAACTATTCAAGGAAGTTATGCGAAAGAAGGCGTCTGTGATTACATTGTTGGCTCCAGAAAGTTGTTGAATGTCTGAAGTAAATTTCTGTTTTCTGTAGACTACCTCGACTGATGTTCACTGTCTAGAGCTTCTATTTATTGCTCTCTTGCATTTAGTAGGTTTGTTGTTAAAAACAAACCATTCATCGAACAATGTTGCTTAATGTTCAGCAAGTTATTGGTTTCCACCAATGTCATTATGGTCTTCTGGGTCATCCATTTCGGTATTTTAACTACAATATTGGTGAGGCTGACAGGTCCCTAGTTTGATAGATGTCTTGGTTCTGTTTTACGTTTTGGAGTGGCAATTGCATCCTTCCAGTCCACAAGTCACTCTGTGACAGCTCAAGTTGGTTGGTTAAGAGTTGACCCCAAACAACCAAGCATATGCCAAAACAGTATTGTTCAAGTATTCATTCACTTCCTTATTTTTTATAAGCGTTATATTCCCTATTATCTTATATTGAATGTTGAGAGCCTTTGTTTGTCTGAACAGATAATCCCACGCTCCACTGTGACTGCGCGAAGATCGAAATAAAGACCTATTCACTACTTGTCTGGTTTCTTCTGTCAATAGCACGAGGGTTACCTTGAGGCACGAAACTGGTGAGCCCTTTCTGAACACAAATCTGACCTCTTTTCTGTTTTTAACATTTTTTTTACATAATCGTAAAAGTAGACCTGATTATCCGTAAACTAAGTTGAGTATATAACTAGCTTATTACGTATTATCTTAAGTTATTCGTGTTATAGTAACCATTTTTTGTGCTAACTTCATTGCTATATTTGTCACATACCTCATGTCAGACTCAATAGAAACCCATAATCTGGAGGATTTGTCACCAGTGGAGATAGACACTGTTATGACTACGAAATCCCTACTTCCAGAATTTGATCGTAGTGATCCTGAGTTGTGGTTTGCTCAACTAGAGCATTATTTCACGAGACACAATATCAAATCTGAAGGGATTCGCTATAGAGATTTGTGTTCTATCCTTCCTCCTTCAGTCGTCAAAGAAGTCCGTGACTTGATTTTAGATCCACCATCACCACAACCATACACCATCTTAAGACGAGAGATAATGAACCGTTTATCATTATCAGATAGTCAAAGAATCCAAAGACTTTTTCAAGGTGAAACACTAGGTGATCGGTTGCCGTCACAGTTTTTACGTCACCTCCAAGTCTTAGTGGGTGATAACACAGTGGGTGAAGCAGTCCTAAAACAAGGATGGATACAAGCTCTCCCATGCTACGTCCAACACTGTTTGGATGCACAAGATCCTGAAACCTCATTATCTCATTTAGCGCGTATAGCCGATAGAATAATGGAAAGAGGTCCTCCAACTGGATCAGGCACAATAAATCACGCACAAAAAGTGAAATCAGCAAAAGACCCCGTCATAGAAGGACTCATTGCGAGTGTTAAGAGTCTCACTGAGGCTGTCATCAGAATGCAAATGAGTCATAGAAACAGGAGCAGGTCACCACAACGACCACGATCCAAGTCACAAAACAGGTCACAAATGTCCAGACAATCTGGGCAGTTTTGTTGGTACCACTGGAAGTTTGGTGTCAACTCAACCAAGTGCATGCAACCATGCGCCTGGCCTAAGCATAATTCTAAGACAGCGGGAAACGAGTAACCCCTCCTCAGGTCGCGACGACTGAGGAGGGGCGCCTAAACAGTCGCTTGTTTTATGTTAGAGACAGAAACTCTGGCTTGAATTTCTTGGTGGATACTGGCGCTGCTTTTAGCATCATCCCTCAAAATAAAACTGAGATTAGTCGAGAAACATCATCAATTACACTTCAAGCTGCAAATAAAACTAAAATCGCGACATTTGGGCAGAAAACTTTAACCCTAGATTTGGGGTTCAGGAGGCAATTCCCTTGGGTTTTCACGGTAGCCGACTTAGATCTGGCAATACTGGGGGTGGACTTTCTAGAGAGATACGAATTTCTAGTTGACACCAAGAAACGGCGATTAACACTAAAAGAAACTTCGTATTACACAAAAGGCAAAGAAAGTCACATCAGCTCTCTTAACTTGATTCAAACTCCCCCAGTAACAACAGCGAAATTCCAAGATATACTCGCGGAATTTCCAAACTTAACTAAACCAAACCCACAGCCTTCTAAAGACAAACTAAAAATAAGTCACACTATCAAAACCGAAGGTGCACCGGTGTTTGCAAAACCCAGGAGACTAGCACCAGATAAGCTCAAAATCGCTAGGGCCGAGTTTGATTATATGCTACAATTGGGTATTATCCGTCCCTCTGATAGTCAATGGGCATCCCCTTTGCATATGGTCCCAAAGAAGAATGAAGGCGACTGGCGACCGTGCGGGGATTACAGAGCCCTAAACCGCCAAACCGTACCAGATAGGTACCCAATACCTCATATCCAAGATTTCACCAACGGTTTACAGGGTATGAACATATTCACTAAAATTGACTTAGTCAGGGCATATCACAATATCCCGGTGGCTGATGAAGATATTCCCAAGACAGCTATTACTACACCCTTTGGCTTATTCGAGTTTGTACGCATGCCATTCGGCCTGAGAAATGCGGCACAGACATTTCAAAGATTCATAGATAACCTACTTCGAGATATGCCGTTTGCGCAGGGGTATATAGACGACCTGTTAATTGCCAGCCCCGATTTGCAATCACACGAACAGCATGTGCAAACAGTGTTGAAAAGACTGGATGAACATGGAATAAACATACATCAAAGTAAGTGTGTTTTCGGTGTTCAAACTTTAGAATTTCTCGGTCACACAATAAGCCAAGAAGGGATTAAACCGATCAAAAAAGAAGTAGACACCATCAAACAATACCCCATACCTAGTTCTCTAACACAACTGAGAAGTTTTCTAGGTCTAATTAACTTTTATCGCAGATTCATACCAGGTTGTGTACAATTAATGCAACCTTTGACAGATTCGCTCAAAGGAAAACCAAAAGAATTCAAACTGTCTTCCGACGCCATGGAAGCTATTAAACAGCTTAAAGATAAATTAGCTCAAGCAACCACGTTATTGTATCCTAATTCTCTTTCCCCACTTGCTTTGATGATGGATGCTTCAGATAAAGCAGTAGGCGGTACCCTTAACCAACTGGTTAAAAACGCCTGGAAACCAATTGCTTTCTTCTCAAAAAGACTCGCTCCAGCAGAGACAAGGTATTCTACCTTCGGGCGAGAACTTCTTGCAATCTACCTAACCATTAAACACTTCCGACACATGTTAGAAGGCAGGGAATTCATAGTCTTTACGGATCACAAACCACTAACGAATGCGCAAAGAGCGAGAGCTGATAAATACTCACCTCGAGAAGTCCGACACCTTGACTATATATCACAGTTCACAAGCGATATCAGACATGTCAAAGGTCAGGACAATCAGGCGGCAGATGCTTTATCTAGGCTAGAAACGAACGTGCTACAGCAGTCTACAGTAAACTTCGAGACGTTGAGAAACGAACAAAAGCAGGATCTAGAATTACAAAACCTACTTAAAACAAACAATTCAAGTCTTAATTTAAAACAGTTCCCATCACCTGTCGATGGTATTCTAATCTACTGTGACACGACCAAGGCAATGCCGCGACCTTTCGTTCCCAAAAGTATGCGAAAGTTGATATATAATAACTTTCATTCTTTGTCTCATCCTGGCGCAAAAGCTTCAACAAAACTAATCAATGCCAGATATATATGGCCGAATTTACAGAAGGATGTACACAAATGGGTTAGAGAGTGTTCAGCATGCCAACAATCAAAGATTAACCGTCACACAAATCCACCCATAGGTGTTTTCTCGCAACCAGATGCACGTTTTGCCCATGTGCATATCGACTTGGTAGGTCCTTTACCACGTTCAAACGGTTTTAATTATCTTTTTACATGCATAGATCGATTTACCAGATTCCCTATAGCCATCCCGATAGCGGGCATCACAGCGGAAACAGTAGCCAAAGTTTTCATGCAGAACTGGGTAACCATTTTTGGTACACCCATAACAATAACGACGGATAGAGGAGCGCAATTTGAATCCGAACTATTTATTTAGATTATCTACAGAACATTCACATCAAAATTTATATTTTAAACTATTTAATAACTTGGCTAAACTTCT